AAAACAAACACAAGCTTAAACATCGAAAACATAAAACAAGTTTACAATGATTTAAGAAATACACCAAAACAAGTATTTAAAAATAAACACAGATCTCTGTAGAGGGAGAAAAAAGCCTGAAACTCCATTCTCCCCCCCCACACCCCACCCCAAAATCCCCCCTCCCCCCCCGCGCCACGCAGCAGGCCCCCGAAGAAAAAAACCTCCCCCCCCCCCCCCCCGCCAAGATTCCTGGTCTCCCATTTCCCCTTTCCCCTCCCCCTCTCCCCCGCCTCACCAGCCCGGCGGAGGGAGCGAGGGCGCGGCGGCAAGGGCGAGGGGAGGCAAGGGCGAGGGGAGGCAAGAGCGAGGGGAGGCTAGTCGCGGATGCCGAGCAGCAGCTTCGTGCGCCTGCGGAGAGGCGCGAGGGGAGAGGAGGGATGTGGGGGGGGGGGGGGGAGGGGGAGGCTGGCATCTCAAGCGACCTCCACCGCTCCACGAGTCTGTCCAGTGCACCCACTGGCCAGATGCCGGGCCTCGGAGGCTGAATCGAGCGCCGAGTCCGGCCGACCTGGCACTGCTGAGGTCACGCCTGCCTGGGGCGAGCCGAGCTGTTTTTCACAGCAGGCTGGAAGTACCTCGCCAGGCCGGGCCCGGGGGGCTCGGAGGGACCGTCCCCCGCGGTTCGTTGCCCCGCCAAAATGTGCCGCTGGGTCGTCTTCGTGTCGCGCGACCCCGTCACGCTCGCCGACCTGCTCGTCAAGCCGCAGAATTCTCTCGTTCGCCAGTCCTTTGACGCAAAGTACCATCCCGGGTTCACTTCCGTCAACAATGCGCTGCTGAACGGCGACGGCACGGTGTGAGGCACAATGGCTAGACGTCCACACACCAAGAATATCACGGTCCGTTCGCCTCTGCTCTCGCTTGCAGGGCCTTGCCTGGTACGTCTTCGGCAAGCCGTACCTCTACAAGAGCAACGGCGCGCCCACTGCGCTCTCCCCTCTCCCGCCCCACCTGCGCGCATTCTGCCGCCGCACCATGAGCAGACGCGGGGCACTTCCCGACTCCCGTTCCCTCCGCCTCTCTCCCAGGCCCAGCATGGAGCGATCTGAACCTCCTGGAGCTGGCGAGCTGCACCGCCTCCCCTCTCGTCTTTGGGCATGTCCGGGCCGCCTCACCAGGGACCAACACCAGCCGCGCCGACTGCCACCCCTTTCGCTTTGGCCGGCTTACCTTTATGCACAATGGCCACATCGAGGGCTTCGCCAGCTTCAAGCGGGCCATGGTCAATCTTCTGACTCAAGAGGCGTACCTCAACGTCACGGGCGTCACCGACACGGAGCACGCCTTCGCTCTCCTCCTCAGCCAGCTGCGCGACCCAGGCCGCTCCTCCTCCTTTTCGCGCGAGGAGCTTGAGGACGCCCTCGACGAGATGATCCGCATCGTGGCGAAGCTGCAGGCGGCGGCCGGCGTCACCGGAGGCTTCACCACGCTCAACCTAGCGCTCAGCGACGGCGAGACGCTGGTCGCCACGCGCTACTGCGACAAGTGGCCTGAGACGCCGCCTCCCTCGCTCTACTTTTGCTACGACCGCAGCGAGACGCTCCGCGCGGCACTGCACCAACAGACGGGCGGGAGTGGTGGGCCGGGTGACGGCTCTAAGAACGCCGGCGGAGGCGACAAGGAGGCGGCCGCGCTCCTCGACGACCAGGCAATGCGGCCTTCTGGGGTGTGCGTGTGTGTGTGGAGGCAGTGCTTGTGTGACGTGCCGCATCACCGCTGTCGCAGGAGAGCGTGCACTCGGTGGAGGATCGGAGGTGGAAGGAGGACGACGCTCACCTGGCGCCGCGGCCCTGTCGCTACCTCGTGGGACGCTCCCCTGTCCTCACGCATGCAGCTGCCCCGCAGGCGGCGGCGAGCCGTGAGCCGGCGCTGCGGGCTCTCCTGGTGAGCTCCGAGCCAACGGTACTGGAGCAGGGCATCAAATGGCGACCCGCCTTCCGTGCGCATGCGGCGATGCCGCTACCCCTCCACACGTTGCCACCGTGACGAGCAGGTACCCGCTGCCCGCCAACTCGATGCTCTCCCACACGCGCAGCACGGGCAGCACCGACCAGCGCTCGCGGCCGAGGCTCAAGGCGATCGAGATTCCAGACACCTCCGTGCGCAGCCCCCAAGTGGTTGAGGGGTGGGCGATGCGGCCGCGAGCAGACACGGCCTCGAGCGTCGGGAGTCTGGGGTCTCCGACGCTGAGGGACTGACCGAGAGGGTCCTCGTGAGAATTACTCCGGTCCAGTCTCACGCTCACGGAGCTCGCGACGCTTCTCGCCACAAGCGCCACGTCGGGGGAGTGTGCAGTGTGGTGTGCTGCGATCGCAACATCTCGGACTCGCGTCTGCTCTAGAGAGCCGTAGCTCCGTCTCTGGCGGAGCGCGCCCGGGCTGTGGCCTGTGTGTGTGTGTGCCACCACTGTGGGCGGTCGCTGGTCGGTGGTGGTCGCTCGCGCGTCCCGCGCTCGCGGCCGGTGTGTGGTGTGTCGCGTGTCGCGGCAGGCGGCATGCGGGCGCCGGGCCGCGAGAGATCTCGCACATGACATGCACATGCACATGCAACATGGTGGGGCGCGCGCCGCCGCGATCTCATTATTTATATTAATAAATTATAATGTCATTAAATATTTCAAACGAGCATGACGAAAAGTGGAAGAAAAGTGGACTCGCACTCGGGACAGCGGGGCGACAGATAGCGAGGCCGGCGAGATCACAGAGAACACCGCACAGCCGCTCGACCGCTCATACAACCTCAAAGGACGGGGAAGATACTCTAGAGGCACACACACAAACGCTCACCGAGAGATACCGCTCTGGGTGGTCTCGGCAGAGGGACTTGCCTCCCCCCCCCCATAACAGATTTCACGGTCTACGCACACCAAGAACACGCGCTCCTCCGCAAGCTACGACACCTCGGCGCCGGCCGGGCGAATGGGAGCAAAGGTAAAGCCTCCGATGGTGTCAAAGTTGCTGCTGATCAAACCCCACATATTTGCCACGCCGTCCGTCTTGATGCTCAGCTCGCCTCCCGCCGCCATCTGCAGGTCTCCCGGGCCTGCAACAACACTCGATGTGAAGGAGCGCCGTTTGCGAGTGGGCGGGAGAGTTGGGAGGAGAGAGTGGCACACGGGCGCCTGGGAGCACACCCCTCTCGTCCGGCATCGATCGCTCGATAATCTCGAGCTGGTACTCGAGAAGCTGCCTCCGCTCGCTCGGCACCGCCGCCTCCGCCCGCTCAGCGGACAGCCCGAGGGAGGCGGACGCCTCGGCTGCCGCACCCAGCGCATCCAGCTCCGCCCGGACGGCAGCGGCCTCTGCCTCGAACTGGCGCAGCTGCGCGCCATCCCAGCACGCAGCGCGAAAGAAGGCGCGGCCCGGAGGAAGGGCGGCGCCGTTGCGCTGCGCCCCGTCGGGAAAGTCGATGTAGAAGCGGAGCGCGGATCTGCCGCAGCGGTCGGGCGGCTCGGCTAGCCAGCCGCCCGGCCGGGCCTCGACGCTCACCTCACCTTTAGGGCCGACAAACGCGCCCGCTGAAGCGAGGAGCCGCCTCGCGGGGCAGCAAGTTGGCTCCTCGACGGTCCAGCGAAAGTCACCACTCGCGACAGGCTCGTCCGAGAATGTGATCTCCAACGGAACCGCAAGGCGGGCGCCGCCGCTCTGAATGTCGAGCGTCATCCGCCACGCCGACTGGAAGAGGAGTGGCTCGGTCCACGGTTCCGACCAAAACGAAGAGCCACGGCGAGTCGGCGTCAGCGCGGGCCGGAGCGCGTGAGGTTGCAGGGCGAGGAGCTGGGCAGAGAGCATGCGAGGGGTCGCACCGGTGAGCGTCGTAAATGATTTAGAAAAACAGCAAAAGCAGAGCGTAAAAACGGTCTATGCACGCGCTCCGCCCTCGGCCGCTGCCGCCACCGGGAGCGGCGACGGCGAGCGGAGCATGGACGATCGGGTAGCGAGGCCCGCGTCGAGGCGCAAAAGGCAGTGACAGTGTGCGCGCGCGGCGCGGCTGGCGGCTGGCCGCTGTCGCTGTCGCTGTCGCTGTCGCTGTCGCTGTCGCTCACACGATCATTTTCACACAAGCACTTCTTTCCTCTTTACCATCCACATCTCTGTCGGTCTCGGGCGCCCCACATCACAGCCACAATGCATAAATCTCATCTTCCGTCCTGGATTCGCCTCTCGCCACTCTCGGATACGTTCGCAGGTGGCGAAGAGGCACGTGTGCGACGTGGCAACACAGAGCCTTGCACCCTTTCGCCCGTCTCATCACTGCCCCGGCGCCCACGCCTCGACCCTCTTGGGCAGCAGCTGGTTCGACAGGTCCTCTCCGTGGCCTAGGCCGCCGTATTCACCCTGGCCCCAGGTGAAGACAGCGGCATCGGCGGTGATGGCGAGGCTGTGGCTGCCTCCAGCCGACACAGCGACGACGCGCTGGTCAGCAAAAGCCTCGACCTTCTTGGGCAGCAGCTGGTTCTGCGTGTCGCCGTGGCCCAGCCGGCCTCGCCCTCCAAGGCCCCAGCTCCAGACAGCTCCGTCGGCGGTGATGGCGATGCTGTGGCTGCTTCCCGCCGACACAGCGACGATGCGCTGCTCAGCAAAGGCCTCGACCTTCTTCGGCAGCAGCTGGCGCTGCAGGTCGCCGTGGCCTAACCGGCCAGAGCCTCCCTGGCCCCAGCTCCAGACGCTGCCGTCGGCGGTGAGGGCGAGGCTGTGCTGGTCTCCAGCCGAGACTGCGATGACGCGCTGCTCAGCAAAGCCCTCGACCTTCTTGGGAAGCAGCTGGTCCTGCCTGTCGCCGTGGCCCAGCTGGCCCCAGCCTCCCTGGCCCCAGCTCCAGAGAGCGCCATTGGCGGTGAGTGCAAGGCTGTGGTGGCCTCCAGCCGACACAGCGACGACGCGCTGCCCAGCCAAGGCCTCGATCTTCTTGGGCAGCAGCTGGTGCTGCGTGTCGCCGTGGCCCAGCCGACCTTCGCCTCCATAGCCCCAGCTCCAGATAGCGCTGTCGGCGGTGAGGGCGATGCTGTGTTCGCCTCCTGCCGATACGACGAGGACGCGCTGCTCAGCTAAGGCCTCGACCTCCTTCGGCTGCCACTGGTCCTGCCGGTCGCCGTGGCCCAGCGCGCACACGCCTCCCTGGCCCCAGCTCCAGACACTGCCGCCGGCGGTGAAGGCAAGGCTATGGAATCCTCCAGCCGACACGCTCACGGCGCGCTCGCCACCCAGCGTGGAAGGGAGGCGGGTCGGCGTGTTGAGCCGCGGCACGCCCTCGCCGTGACCGATCAGTCCCGGCGTCCAGTTCTCAGCCGTTCCGCACGACGAGAGCCGCCCCTCGCCGTCGATGAAGACGCTGTGCCAATATCCTGCGGCAGCCCTCGCCGGCGGGTTGGACTCGCACAGCAGCGCCGAATAGCACAGCCACCGCACGGCGCAGCCCTCGCCCTCCGGCAGCGCCGGCAGCTCGAAGCCGCGCTCTCGCGCCCACAAGCGGATGGCCTCCAGCGCAAGCGAGGCGTGGAAGAGCAGCGAGACGGCCGCGACGCGAGCGATGTCGGCGGGGTCGCAGCGAGAGATGGCGCGCAGGAGGAGCTCCGTGGGGAGGTCGAGGAGGCGGGTGGGCTGCGGCGCGTTTGGCGAGGGAGCGGCGGAGGAGGCGGCGGCGAGGCGGCGCGAGCGGCGGCGCGGCGGGGTGGACATCGCGAGGAAAAGAAAACCGAGGTGGTCAGGGGGTAAAAAGAAAAGCCGCGCGCGCACCGTCCTCCGGCGCGATCAACGCAGCCCACTGTTACGCATTTCGCTGCTCATCGCGACCGCCACCAAGATGCGGTACGGCTCCCTCGCCTGGACTTCTCCGCCTGCCGCGCGACGGCTCGTCGCCTGGCTGGCCATGACGACACCGCCGACGCCGCTCGACCTCAGTGGCGACGGCGGCTGCCTGATGACGACGCTGCGAGAGCCGCTCCCGACCGCGGCGCGCGCGTCCTCTCCCTCCATCCACGATTTATTGATTTTATATGCCCGAGAAATCTCAGAGAGAGATTTTTAGCAATACCAAACAAATCTAACACTCACACGTCATTTGGGGCCTGGAGCCCTGTTCACGCGCGCGCGAGACGTGCAGACAGGGTTGCCAGGTGAGAGCGAATGGCGCGGTTCACGCCTCGCACAACAGACAGAGAGAGAGATGCGCTCTGCATGGTGGGACGTGTTTGTGTTTGTTGAAATCTCTGAGAAATCTCTGAGAAATCTAGATTTTTAGCAATACCAAAGTTTGTTAATCTCTGTGATCAGTGATGCTGAGATGGTGTGAGTAGAGGGTCGCGACAGCGTCCTAATCTAAATAAAATCGTCGGTCACTCTGCTGCACGCCGTTTCAGATTTTTTCTCGTCGGGTAGAAAGAAAGAAAGAAAACAGAGAGAGGGTAGAAGATTTTCACAGGCGAGCCCGAAAAAGAAACCCGCGGCCCCCCAAGGAGAGCACGCTCCACGCCGCCCTCGACCCAGCCTCCGCCGCTGGTTTTGCGATCGTATGCGGAAGTTAAGCCTTCAATTGCTGCTCGCGGCACAGCCTGTCGCTGCTTCGTGGTGGCACCGCTCGCCGCCGCCGCCGTCGCCGCCGCAGCCAATCCCGCAGCCACTGATAGAGTCCTGCTACGACCTCTGCGGCGGCTCAGGCGTCTGCCCGGGCTTTTGCGGAGCCGGCCACTCGTGCTGCCGCACTTACTTCCCCGCAGCGGGCTGCCCCGAGGTCTCTTGCAACGGCTACCACTGCTGTGTGCCTGAGGCCGCCAGCCCGGACCCGCCTCCGTCGCCTCCGCGCTCGCCTTCGCCGCTTGGCCCTCCGCCGCCCATCTCGCCGTTCACGTGCGGCTGCCAGTGGACAAAGAAGTGGCACTGCCCCGGCGAGAAGTCTTCCGGGCCGGTCGCTTCGCCGCGCGGATGGGAGGTGCACATGCAGTGCAGCGGCCGCCACGCGCGCCCTCTCCGCCTCTCACAGCGAGTCCGCTCTCCCGGCCATAGGACCCGTGCTACGCCTTTTGCTGCAACCGGCCGCCGCCACCGAGCCCTCCGCCGCTGCCTCCCGCCCCACGCGACTGCTGGGCGGGCTGCGGCAGCGTGGCCGGCCCTTGCCACGGCTTTTGCGGCGGCGGGATGGCGTGCTGCCGGCCGGGCTTCCCCGCCCTCGGCTGCCCCGGGGCAGAGAGCCTCTCGGTGGTGGGCGCGAGGTGCGAGGGCTACCACTGCTGCGTGCCAGAGGCGCCCTTCCCGGCGCCGCCGCCGCCGCCGCCGCCGCTGCCGCCGCCGCCCACGCCGCCGCCTCCCTCGCCGTCGCCGCCGCCGCCCGCGGTCCCGTTTGCATGCAACTGCACGTGGGTCGACGACTTCTCGTGCCCAGGCATGCCGCAGGCGGGCCTGCTCGGCGTCGCGCACGACGACGGCAGTGAGTGCTACGCCTTCTGCTGCAACAAGCCGCCGCCGCCCTCGTCGCCCTCGCCCTCGCCGCCGCCCTCTGCGCCGGGCAACTGCTGGGACGGCTGCGATGGGCAGGGGCCGTGCGACGGCTGGTGCGGCCAGGGGCACGCCTGCTGCCGGACTGGCGTCTTCACCCTCGGCTGCCCGGCGACGGCGTGCGACGGCTACCACTGCTGCGTGCCAGCGGTGCCCTTCCCAGCCCCGCCGCCGCCCGCGCCGCCGCCGCCCTCGCAGCCCCCCTCGGCGCCGCCTCCCTCGCCGCCGCCCCCCTCGTTGCCGCCCGGCGCGCCGCCGTCGCCGCCGACCGCGCTCAACGCGATGCTGTTCAACACGTCGTTTGGGCTCCCAAACATCGAGTACGGCGAGGGTGACGGCCGCGTCAACGTGTTCGGCATACAGTGCGGCCACGCGCACGTCGCCTCGTACAGCCTGCACCCGACCTCGTCGCCAAACTCGTCCGCCGCCGTCGAGCTGCGCGCCGAGGTGACGGGCGTGATGGTCGAGTGCGTGTGCGAGTGGACGGCGGAGTACTACTACCCCGGCACCGAGAACCTCCTCGCGTACGAGTCGGGGACGGTCCAAGTCTCGTCCACCGGCGCGGGCCTCAGCGCCACGCTCGGCTTTGGCGGCGAGAACAGCACCGGCGACGGCCTCTGGGGACTCGACGTGGTTCCCGTGCTCGAAGAGTGCTCCGGCGCGTTCCCGATCTCGCTCGACAAGTTCACGACGCGCAGCACCAACGTGGTCGCCGGCGTCGCCAGCTTTGCGTTTGGCGGCGACGCCCTCGCCGACGGCATCGTCGGCCGCCTCACGCTGGCGATGGACGAGGGCTTCTGCGCGTACTTGATGCCAAAGGTCTACGCGACGACCGCCGAGGAGGTCGGGCCGCTCCTCGGGCAGCTCAACGGCCTCCTCGGCTCGACCGCCCAAGGCACCGTCGACAGTGTCTTCGGCAGCACCAACGCTGGCGTGCACAGCGCTGCGGCGGCGACGGGCTCCTACCTGTCCAAGAACGACACGGCCCTCGCCTCGGGCGTGGACGCGGCGCACGACCTCCTCGCGGCGCAGGCCGAGCAGCACGAGGCGGAGCTCGCCGCGGCGCAGCAGATGCTCGCCCAGCAGGCAAAGGCGCACGAGGACGAGATCGCCGCCGCCGCCTCGTGGTGGAGCTCGTGGACCGGCGGCGGAGGAGCGGCCTCGCCCGCCCCGCCGCCCAGGCCGCCGCCGCTGCCGCCCCTGCCCGCGTCGCCGCCGCTCCACGGGACGCGCAACTGCTGGGCGGCGTGCGGCGGCGCGGGTGGGCTCTGCCCTCTCTTCTGCGGCGACGGCTGGGCCTGCTGCTTGCAGGGCGAGGAGCTGCCCGGCTGCGCGCTCAACAACCCCTGCGTCGGCTTCCATTGTTGCGTCCCTGCCGCCGGCTTCCCCTCGCCACCGCCGCCCTCGCTCCCTCCCTCTCCGCCGCCCCCGCCGCCCCCGTCGACGCCCCCGCCCCAGCCGCCTCCGCCCGCCGACTGCTGGGGCGGCTGCGGCGGCGCCGGCCTCTGCAGCGGGTTTTGCGGCAGCGGGCACGCCTGCTGCCGCACCGACAGCCCCTGGACAGCAGGCTGCCCGGCGCAGTCGTGCGTCGGCTACCACTGCTGCGTGGACGCGGTGCCCTTCCCGCCGCCGTCATCACCCCCCTCGCCGCCGCTGCCTCCCTCGCCTCCCTCGCCGCCGCCCTCGCCGCCGCCGCCGCCGCCCTCGCCGCCGCCTAGCCCGCCGCCCAGCACCCCTCCGTCGCCGCCGCCGCCGCCCTCGCCGCCGCCGCCGCCGCCACCCTTGCCGCCGCCGGCCGACTGCTGGGGGCAGTGTCAAGCGGCCGGGCTGTGCCCTCAGCACTGCGGCGTCGGGCGGGCGTGCTGCAAGACTGGGTGGCACGCGCTCGGCTGTCCTGACGCCATCACGCCCGCTTGCGAGGGCTACCACTGCTGCGTCGACGCCGTGCCGTTCCCGCCCTCGACACCTCCGTCGACGCCGCCGCCGTCGCCGTCGCCGCCGCCGCCGCCGCCATCGCCGCCGCCACCCAGCACGCCGCCCTCACCGCCGCCGCCTACGATGCCCCCACCGCCCTCGCCGCCGCCGCCCTCGCTGCCGCCCTCGCCGCCGCCCTCGCCACTCCCACCCTACGCGCCGCCCTCGCCACCTCCTCCCTCGTCCCCGCCGCCGCCGCCGCCGCCGCCCTCTGTGCCGCTCGACTGCTACTACCACTGCAATGGGCAGGGGCCGTGCGACGGCTGGTGCGGCCAGGGGCACGCCTGCTGCCGGACTGGCGTCTTCACCCTCGGCTGCCCGGCGACGGCGTGCGACGGCTACCACTGCTGCGTGCCAGCGGTGCCCTTCCCAGCCCCGCCGCCGCCGTCGCCGCCGCCGCCGCCCGCGTGCGACCTCGCCTGCCATGACTCGACGTGCCGCAAGCTCTGGGCGGCGGGACTCCAGTGCGCCGACACGCTCGACCTCTGCGGCCAGGCCTGCTCCGCGTGCTGCCGCTCGGCCGACGACCCAGCCAGCCTCGCGCCGATGCAGCGCGCCGCTCAGCGCCTCGTTGCGGAGGGCGACGCTGCGGCGCGCGAGCCGCAGGGCCTCATCGGCGCACGGGCCCTGCTGCTCGGCGCGGCCGCGGCGGCTGTCTTGAGCGCTGCGGTGTTGCGGCGCCGCGCCGCCAACGCACGGGCCGCACCTTCCCCGGATCTGCCGACGCGCCGTCGGCGTCGCGAGGTCCGGCACCCCCTTTTCTGAGGGGTTGGCCCTACGCGCTGTCCCTGTCCAAGTATGAAGAGAGCGGTAGCAGTTGACTCTGACTCTTGCTGCTGCACTTGAGGCTTGGGCGTGGGGAGATCACCGGCGTCGAGGGGGGAACCAATCGGTGCGGACCGCGGTGGTCGTCCGCCATTACTTTTTATGCATATAACCGAGGCGTGGCGAGCACAGGACTGCCTGCGTCTCGTTAATTTGCGGTCTCGTTATTAACCGGGCGAAAAAATCAATCACCCGTCTTGTGTGATGTCGCCCTGAAGCTGAACGCTGAAGGTGCGTTGGGCCGCGCGCTCATCGCCAACGGCCACGCAGTGCTGGGTCGCTGCAGCACGACGGTATAGACCATACTCTATAGTCGTAGCGGTCAAGAGAGGGAGTGACGCCGGGGCGACGTGGCGGAACAGATGGCGAGGGCGAGTGAGGAGGCGCTCGGATACCGGCAGCCGTGCGAGCTAAAAGAGCAAGAGCCGCCGAGCGGAGTAGCGAGACCGCAACTGGCGACACGCGATGAGGTGGGAGGGGTAGTGCCGGGGCTAGGAGAGACGGAGGGCTCGCCCCCGAGGCACGGCGCGTGGGTAAGAGACGCCGAACTCCAGGAGGATCCGCTTACACGCTTCCTACTGCGGTGGGACGAGCGTTTGAAGCCGGGACAAGGGCGCTGTCAGACAGAAACGGGACGCAGGTCATGATGCTTGGGCAAGAGGATAGAGCCGCTTGGCTCGGAGAAGGGCCGTGAGCTCAACGCGGAGGTTGCCAGGATATGCCTCGCGCTGCACAGAGCGCGGCCCTTCACGCACCTCGCTGCGACGGATGGAGGGAGAGACATGCCAAACAAGTGGGTGGGGGATAGGTTCGTGCCTCGACCAGTTGTGTCGTATGGGGTGTACGAAGGGCCGGCCCGATTCGGGAGACCCGTCGAGGGATCTGGACAGCTCGAAGGCGGGGACGATGAGCTGCGGCTCGGTCGCGTTTGGGCAGGGGCTGTGGGGCGGCAGACTCTGCCAGACGACTGGCAGGTGATAGACGCGGAAATGTACGCGGTGCTGGCTTACCTGCGTAAGATGGCGACGGCGGAAGATGCGGCGGACAGGAGGTGCCTCGTCTTGAGCGACTGCAAGCCCGCGCTACAGCAGATCGAGGCGGCGTACCGAAAAGGCTCTCTTGAGGGGCTCAGGGAGTGGGGCATTAGAGGGGATATGCAGATATCGCGCCCAGCTCGAATCTGTCACGTTCCTGTGAGTACCGAGCCACGCGGGGCGCGCTAGCAACCCCTACGCCGACGCCGCGGCGACGGCATACATGGGGGCCAGCGAGATTGAGGATGCCACCGCCGTCATCCGTGAAGCAGTGAGGACACGCCCGTGCCTGTACACGGACCGCCGGAGGACGGCAGACAGAGAGTGGGGGCGGGAGGTACTGGACCGGAGGACCTATTACGCCACACGCGGCCACACGAACGAGTGGGTGCGGGGACGGCTCGGCGAGGGGCTCACGGCGGGGTCGCACACGGCAGGGGTGACGGGGCCGCTGTGGAGCGATGTGGTCAGGGGAACGACGAGACAAATGGGACAAGCACCAGCGATCAAGGATCAGCACAGCGAGCGCGAGATTGAATTCGCCGACGTGGATGATCACAACGTGGTGACAAAGACCGTCATGGGAGTGCGGGTGCGGCAGCAGGCGGGGGTGCCACACGGAGCACACCACGAGAGGATCATGCGGGGAGAGGCGGGGAGAGAGACCCCGGGCGCCGCCACAAGGAGCGAACTCAGGGGCTGCCTCGTCTGTAAGGCCGTGAGGGACGCGGCGAGGAGGGCGGCACTAAAGCGAGACCCGCTGTGTCCGATCGTGCGGAAAGCCGCGCAGCGATGCCATGCCGAGGAAGAAGGGACCGCCGCCGCAAGTGCCGTTGACAAAGTTGGGTCCAGTATTAAACTCGTTCAGCTGCTGTCGGTGCAGTCCCACTGCCGCCGCTGCCGCTGCACTAATGCTGGGGGCAACTAAGGACTCTCACCGACAGATGCACAGGCTTCTGCTTCTCCCCGCCGACGACCGCATTGATGTGCACCTGGGTTATGTACGAGCCGTCAACCGTCAGCGAGCCCCGGTCATCATTGATGACAAAAGTCGCGTCCTCAGTCATGACATTGACGCTCAGGTTGTTTGGGCGCGGCATTTCAAATGCGATGACCGGTATTCAGCTAATTTAGTCTCCATCGGCGAGTACACGCTATTGCTGTGCCGCAAGCTCTCCTGCGCTGATGGGTGGAAGTTACTCTCATCTCTCGCCTCGCGACAGGGAGGTAGGTAGGTAGGTAGGAAGATGAAGAACAGTCAGGCTCGGACTGGACAGGTGCCGTGTGGTCAGGAAAAGAAACCGGGGGTCCGGGACCGATGTGCGATGAGAGGGGGGGCACAAGAACGTTGAGTGAGAGTGAGAGAACAGAGTACACAGTTGGACCCCATTTACTGCGGTCACTCTTCAGGCAGCGCACTCCCATTTGGATGGATCCGTTTCCGTCGAGCACTGCTTGCACGTGCCGTCACACTGCGGGCAAACGGTCAGCCAAGTGCCACAAACACGTCTCGGATAGTAGGGCATCGCGTCGCAGTACTCTTTCTCGAGGAGCCAGTCCGGCCGTTTCAGCTTGAGCTTCTCCTGGAGCATGTACTCGGACGTCTCTAGGGATCCCTCCCCCCAACCCGAGTTGAGCGAGAATGCCTCGCCGACAATGTGAAGTCCCTCGACCGGCTCGAGCACTTCCGCGTAGCGTTCCCACCAGCGAATGCCAGCACGCCAGAAGTGCGTGGCGAAGGTCTTCGTCACCGGATTGTCGGCGTGCCACACCCGGTGCTTGATCTCGGTCGGGGTTGGGATGCGCACAGTCGTCATGTTGCTGATAAACTGCTGCTCGAGCAGCACCCTCATCCGCTCCCAAAAGGTGCGGGAGGCGGGCACGTACGTCTCGTCCTCCCTCCGCTCTCCCGTAATGTCGCCGATGAACTTGGACGGGTCAACGCAGTTGGCGCACTGCGAGGCGGTCGAGGCCGTGCAGCTCTTGAGCTGTTGCTCCTCTGGATCGGCGCCAAAAGTCCGCTCCGGGTCGCTGGTCGTGTAGATCTGCAGCACCCCCCCCTTGCCCTCGCACTCCGGCGGCGTCTGGCTAGCTGTCTGCTGGGTTCCAGGATACCAAGCGAAGAGCTGCCCGAGGGCATTGCTTGAGGTGAAGCGGCCCACAGTGTATCCAGCAGGGAAATCGGCATTCCAGCGGGCGTCGCTGCCGGTGTGCCGATCATCGACCTGCGAAGATGCTTCCCCTCCGACCACATCTTCCGGGAGCGCCTGCTCCCACCAGCGTTCGGGAAAGGCCATGAACGTCTTCATGAGCGAGAGGCCCCCGATGCTTTCGGTCAGGCGTTCGATCGTGCTTCTCAGGTTGAGCTCCGGGCTGATGCTGTACTGAATCCGCTCCAATGGTGCCTTTGGTAGGGCTAGGATTGCCCGTTTGGCGCGCACGACGAAAATCTTGCCCGTGAGCGACGTGATGCCTGAGCACGGCGACGTGACTGTCTCTCCGAACGTGAGCTTGTACGGGTGAGAGCTCCGTCTCGGCTCATATTCAACAGAGACGAGCTCTCGGTGATGATGCACGTTCGCCCGGTCGTTCCTCCACCCACCGGGTGCCTTGAACTCGTCGATGAGGCGGCGAACGAGTTCCTGCATCCCCTTGAGCGGCCGTACAAAGTAAGTCGGCGACAGGTCCTCAGGCTGCGCGAGGTTCCAGTCGTGCTCCAAGTAATAGCCCGACATGCAGGACTCGAGTTCGTTATTCTCGTGAGCGCTGTCGACGGGCGTATCCGAAGTCCAGCGGTTCAGAGACTCGCCCCAGCGCGACTGCTGCCATTTCGCTATCGCGGGAAATCGGCCCTCGCCGTTCTTAAGCGTATGGTCCGCATCCGATGTCAGGTCGGCATTGATCCGGCAGCTCGAGTCGCAGGGCTGGCAGTTAGACTTGTTTTTCGAGGCGAAGATTTCAGGCGGACAGGCTGGGCCCGACTCGGTAAACGCGCAGTGCTTCATCATCTTGGACATCTCGCTCTTCTTGGTGGCGCTGATGACATAAGGGAGAATTCCATTCCAAGTCGTCTCGGGGCCGGGTGAGGGTGCGCTCGCGGCGAGGAGGTCACTGGCCTCAGTCGCGGGCGGCATGCACTGATTGATGTAGACGCCGGCAGGAAGAGTCCTGCTCGAGCAATCAGCCGTGATGACGTTCGCCTGGGGGATCTGGCAGTTTGGGTTCTTCGTACTGTCGCAGTTCGTCTCCGTCCATTTTGTGTACTGGGAGCGGTTGGCGAGGACATTGCGGCACCACATCGGGTTGCCTGGCTCATCAGTCCCTTGCTTGTAAGTGGCGTTGCCATTGTCCCACTTGCCAGTGCCGGCATCAGGCCGAATTGGCGAGCGCCAAGGGTTCTTGTTCATAAAGAAGGGCCCGACTTCAATGTCAAGTTGGTCGACGATGCCGAGCATCAAGGCGTCGGTGGAGCGGATGCGCATCCCACCGAGTTCGGTGCGCGGACGTTTCGCCTGCTGGGGATCGTCAGTCCATCCTTCCTTGTCCAACTCAGTGCATCCAATCGCCTCGGAGATGAAGCGGCCGCCGTCGAAACCAGTCCTCTCGTAAAGGTCGATGCTAGCGGTCTCCGACATGTCATCTTCCTTGTAGTGGGCAGAAGAGAGGCGCCAACCAGTGTACGCGCCAGCGATGCCTCCACCGACGATGACGACATCCTTGTACTCGGTCGCGTCCGTCTCGTCCTCTTGCAGCCGGCGCAAGGGCTTGGTGGGCTGTGCTCTGCTTCCGTGGCGTGCAGCGAGAGCCACGAGGACGAGTGCGGCGAGAGAGGCGGCGAGGACTGCAGCAGAGGCGTGCCGTTGGCGGCGAGGAGGCTCGGCTCGGCACAACATGTGTCGGAAGGATTCGAATCGTCCTGTCAGGACTCCAAGTGCTCCAAGTGCTCCTGTCAAACCGCGCGGCCGACTTTCACGCGACGAGTTTTGTTTTGCGGTACCCCGGAAAGGAAAGGGCAGATTAGCGCTAAGTAGAAAACTGTGGACAAGATCGATGTTATACTCACACATGAAACTCACACATGAGATAAATAGTAGGCACTGTAGCCGTGGACCATCGCAGTAGTTGTAGCCGCAAAACGTCAAACAAAAGCTGCCGGTGCCGCGCGGGAGCCGTCGCCGCGCTCGATCGACGGCGCTTGCGCCGCATTGAGCTCGCGCAGGGCCGCCTCGATGAGCCGTTCGGCGAGCGCGCGGGCGGAGCCGGGAGGCGCGAGAGGCGCCCCTCGGCGGCGCGCACCGCCTGCTTCTGCGCGTGCAGCGCTGCTGGCGCAGCTCGAGCGCCTCCGCGGCCGTCTGGTGGCTCGCCGCCGCCGCACGCGCCGCCTCCAGCTCCGTCAACAGCGCCGCGACGGCTTAGCTGTATCGCGGGTTCACATAAGGCGACTTATGCTGCATGCAGGGTGCTGTTTTTTGGTGGAAAGTACGGTGTCGATAGAGCCGTAAGCGTAACGCGCGGTTTGCGTTTTTGGGTTTCACCTGCTCGACACCTCGCGTACTCACGCCGCGCGTTCTGATACGCCTCGTACTCACGTTCGTTCTGATACGCCTCACTGGCTCACGCTCAAACCCTCACCGGCCCCCGGCCCCCCCGCTGTCCCCGAAGTGGCGAAGATGCCCGAAACCTCCGAGATGCCACATGCCACACAAGACGTACTCGCTGACTAGTGACACACTGTATCTCCCGAAACACCGGCACGCCAACCGCCGTACTAGCGCGGCCACGGTGGGGGTAAGGGAGGGGCGCCGTGGAGTTGCCAGGGCGGGAAGTAGGGCAGAGGCGGCGGGGGAAAGTGAGGCGGAGGCGGCAGGGGCTGCAGCCGAGGTGGCGGCCAGGCCTGGTGGGCGAGAGGCGGTGGCGGCATCCACAGCGCCGGGTACGGGAGAGCTGCTGGGTACGGGAGGCCAGGCGGGAGGACAGTTGCGGACGGCGCGGCGGGCGGAGCTGCGACGGCGGCCGGCGCCGCTCGTTGTGCAAGCGCGGAGGCCGGCGCGACGACAGCGACCGGCGCCGCTGCCGCTGCAGGCGCGGAGGCCGGCGCTGCTGCCGGTGCTGGTCGCGCTTGCTTGGCGGCGGGCGGCGCACTGCAAGCGCCATCCGGCTGCGCACGCTTTCCGGCAGCCACGGACGGCGCTTCCTTGGCAGCTTGCTTGGCACGCTTCTTCTTTGCCTTCTCCTCCTCAGCCTGTGCATGCGACCGGATGAACGCGTCGTCCTGCACTGCTGTAGCGTGCGGAGCGCGACGTGAGAGCGGAAGACCTTGCGGCAGGCCGTGCAGACCCACCCGCGCTGCACCCCACCGAAAGCGACGCTGACAGCCGCAGAGCTGCTGCCGCCCGCCGCAGCCTTATACACTGCCGCCCTCGCCGTCTCCTCCGCCAGCCGTGCCGCCGCCGCCGCCTTCTCCGCCGCCGCCGCCTTGTCCACCGCCGCCGCCCTCTCCTCCTCCGCCGCCTTCTCCGCCTCCAGCAAAGCTTCATCAATTTTGGAGGGTTTGGCCCTTTCCCCCTCCGTAGAGGCTGCGGCGCTCCCACCGCCATGCTCGGCCGAGTCGGCAGCCACGTCCAAGCCCTGCAGATCCTCGAGGAGGTTCTGGGACACGAGGGACGGCGCTTTCTTGGCAGCTTGCTTGGCACGCTTCTTCTTTGCCTTCTCCTCCTCAGCCTGTGCATGCGACCGGATGAACGCGTCGTCCTGCACTGCTGTAGCGTGCGCGGCGTCGAGCTCGGCCATGTGCATGGTGTGTTGCGCGAGCGCGACGTGAGAGCGGAAGACCTTGGGGCAGGCCGTGCAGACCCACTCGAGACGGCAGAGCGAGATGCGGAGGTTTCCCACCGCCTTGCGCAACATCGCGGTCGTCGCCTCGTGCCCCACCGCGACTTGCCCGTTGACAGAGAGAAAGACATCGTTGACCTAGAACGGAGCTGCAAGCCTCGGAAGCGGCACGCGACTGCGACGAGAGTGCGTGCGGGTGGGAGGGGGGGGAGCGCCTCGATGAGGCCCGACTTGGCGGCCAAGCCCCCAGCCGCGAGCTTCGTCACGCGCGGCCTGCGAGGGCGACGTGGTTTGAGTGGTCAGCGCGCGCGGGAGACGGCAGAGAACGGCGCGGGCAGCTGGGAGGCGGGGCGCGGACCAACCGTTGGTGCTTGCGGCTCACGAGGCGGATCCCGAGGACCGTGTCCGTCGTAGGCTTTGACAGCACCACGGATTTGATCTCATTGGGCGCGGGCTCGTACGCCGCCGACTGCGCTGCGACCGGCGTTGACGCTGCCAATGGCCGGGCAGTGGTCGCAATGCCGTCGGCGCGCGAGGGCGCCGGCTCCGCTGCCGCTGCCGCGTTAAGGCGCCGCGCGCCGTCGGCGGCGGCGTAGACGACGTCCTCCCAGTCGGACAGGTCGAGCTGAGCAGCCCCGACAGGTGCACTGAGCCGCAAAGACATCGCCACGAGGGCGGCGATGTCCTTGCGTGTCACCGCGACCGAGGTCTCGCCAGAGGAGGGTGAGGGCCCGGTGACGGAGATCTTGCAGGAGGCCACGGCCTGGGGCGCAACGCCAGCAGCTCCACCCTCGCCCCCTGGACCGTGCGAGGCCCCGACCGCTGTCGGCATCGCTCCGGCAGGAGCTGGCGCCGCCGCGCCGCCGTGAGCTGCGCACGCCGCCGGCTTGCGGTCCTTGGTGAAGTTGTAGATGAGCGGGCTGGGCTCGCGGGGAAGAGGCGCCGCCCCTGCGTCGGCGTGAAGGAGAAGCCCCTGCGCGCGGCGGGCGGTGGGGCGGCGGCCCGGTGAGAGCAGTGGGGCGGGGCGGGAGCCCGGGCGCGGCGTTCAAAGCGGCTCGCCTCTTCGCGACGGACGAAGTCGCCGCCGAGGCCGGGGTCGGCGGCTGCAGCGGCTGCGGCGGCAGGACTGCTGGCAGCCCTCCGAGCGGCGCAGACGTCGCCGCGAGCTGGCTCGGCGAGCAGCCGAAGCGGAACTGGGCAGCTGGTGCGAGGGCGGAGAATCCGCGAGTCCTCGAAGATACGGCCGGTGTCTTCCCTGCCTCGTCGCTCCCGGGCGGTGCCGGGAAGGAAAAGGTTGGCGCCGGCGCCGGCGGTGCCGCGCTCAAGGCCGCTGCGGTAGTGGATCCGAAGCAGAAGCTGCGCTCTTTGCTTTGCGCGGCGCTTGGAGTGTCTCTCGGCGCAGCCGGCTTGGTCGAAGACTTGAAGAGCATGCTCGTCGCGGGTGCACTCGCAAAGATGCCAGCTGCCGGCGCCGGCGCCGCGGTTTGCCCAAAGAGTGGCTGCGGCGTTGCCTTCTCCGAGCTGGCGACGGCGGTGACGGCGGTGGCGGCAGCCAGGTTCACCTGCGCCGTCCGCAGCGACGGGTCGCCGTGGTGGAGCGCCAGCGATGAGGCTGCCGGAGCAACATCTTCAGCTCTCGCCGCCAACTGCCCTCTGGATGTTCTGGCAGCGGCGGACGGTGGCATCGGAGGCGCGTTAGGCTGCACGTTGACAGCGGCGGGCCAGAATGGCGGACCCATAGGCCCGAGCACCCCAGTGAGGAAGTTGAGGAGCGGAGGCAAGCGAGGGTCGCTCGATGGGCCAGCAACCTGTTCCAGCGCGACCACCATCGCAAATCGCGCGCAAGAGGAGCTGCTTGGCGCCGCGCCAAAGAAAGTTGGTTTGTCGCATGCAAAAGAAAGTCGCGAACATCGATCGCACGATGCGCGGCGGCTTCGAGCCCTCCCCAACCTGAAAAAGAAAATCCGACTGCGTACAATCGGAATTCTCACTTTGGGACACGGGTGGTGGTGGTCCTCGGGTGGTGTTCGGACTTGGGCTGTCAAACCGTCGATTTCTGCGATTTGTGCGAAGCGCGCGATTTCTGCGCGGAGCTCGCCGTGGCCCCGCGCGGCCGTACCTACTCGCGTTTTCGGCCCACCACCCTCGACCGAGCTCACCACCATCGCGTACGCACGTTTTATCGTGTGCGCGACGCGCTCGATCACCACCGCGGTGGCGACAAGAGCGCCTTTTCAACACGCTGCGATGGCGGTGTGCAGCACCAGCCGTCACGGCTTCCTGCGCCGCGTTGAGGCTCGCCGAGCGGGAACGTAGGTCGACTCGACACGGCACGGCCCCAAACATCCCACGTCGCGCTCGCGTTCTGCCAGCTCTCTCCCCGCAGTCGCTGCTGCTCACGCTCTCGCCGCGCGTCTCCTGTGCTGCACGCCCACACGTGCGCCGCCCGTCCGCCGCGCGGGAGCGAAGCGCTCTTTGGTGGCGACACGAGCTGCTGTGCCATCGACTCTCGGCAGCCAAGGGATTCTGCCAAAGACATACTCCGCCTTTCCCTGACAGGCCGTCAAACCAAAATGGCAAGGCTACCCTCGCCTCGCCGGCAAGAAGACTGCCGGAGACGTGTGCGCATCGCACGGTGGCTTATATGTGCCCAGCTTCCGAGCGTCAGCAGCCTGTGAGATTTCGCAGCTCGATCAGCGCTCCTCACACACCAGCCGGCGGTGCCGCAGCCGACACACCGGTCACCGCTCACAGAGCCGACACGCCGGCGCATCTCATCTCTATGTGGACGTGCAGCGCGCAGCGCAAGCGCTCTCAAGCGAAGGAGAAAACTAAAGATGCTCCTCATTAGATTTCAGTTATTTTTTGCCTCCACTACGATACTGTGCGCACTGCCCGAGGCGGAAAAAACAGCCACTGCCTCAACTGCCGGACGGGCGTATTTGCAGGCGCGTTGTGTGTCGTGAAACGCCCGTCCCTGGAAACGTTCAGAGGTAGGACGACCGGTCGCCGTGCGCCTTGCATCCCACCGACTCATCGTAATCGTGCGTCAGCTCATCGTCGCCCGCTTCGATTAATGCGCGCGTTCACTATGTTGCGAACGGGCTCGGGCTGGTAGAGCGAGCCGAGACGCGATGCACGTTGCACAGCCGCGCGTGCGAGAAATACGCGTGGCAAATCTCGGGAACTTGCACCGCATACACACCGTTGCCCGACAGGCAGCAGGTGCGCACCGGCCGTCGCCGCACCGGCGACCAGCGCTCTGAAGTCGGCGAGCGCTAGCCGCTGCTTGACGAGGTTGGGCCAGCGGTAGGCCCTCAGGCTTTTGGCTCGCCACCGAGCAATGTGTCGCCGAGCGATGCGCCGCCGAGCGAAGAGAATGGCGCCAGACAGACATAAGCTCGGTCTGAGGTTCCGCCTAGATGCACGACGTCAGCGGCGCGCCGGGCAAACGTCTCGTGACAAATCATTTCCCTGCGCCACCAAAGAGCGCTTCGCTCCCGCGCGGCGGACGGGCGGCGCACGTGTGGCCGTGCAGCACAGGAGACGCGCGGCGAGAGCGTGAGCAGCAGCGACTGCGGGGAGAGAGCTGGCAGAACGCGAGCGCGACGTGGGATGTTTGGGGCCGTGCCGTGTCGAGTCGACCTACGTTCCCGCTCGGCGAGCCTCGACGCGGCGCAGGAAGCCGTGACGGCTGGTGCTGCACACCGCCATCGCAGCGTGTTGAAAAGGCGCTCTTGTCGCCACCGCGGTGGTGATCGAGCGCGTCGCGCACACGATAAAACGTGCGTACGCGATGGTGGTGAGCTCGGTCGAGGGTGGTGGGCCGAAAACGCGAGTAGGTACGGCCGCGCGGGGCCACGGCGAGCTCCGCGCAGAAATCGCGCGCTTCGCACAAATCGCAGAAATCGACGGTTTGACAGCCCAAGTCCCAACACCACCCGAGGACCACCACCACCCGTCCCAAAGTGAGAATTCCGATTGTAACATCCAGCTCGTGAACGTCAGGCCTTGACAACGGGCGATCGCAAAATGCGCCGCGACTTCAAGAGGCCTCGCGATAACGAGTCGTACGGGCAGAGCAGGTGGCGGAACGGCGAGCCTCGCTGGCGCGACGAGCGGCGGCGCAACGAGCCATGCCGGCGCGACGAGCCGCGATGGCGAGACGAGCCGCGAGGGCGCAACGAGCGTGAGCTGCTGCAAAGACCATGGAACCGCCCGCCGCTGCCGCCTCGATGGGCGCCTCCGCCGCCTCCGGGCGGTCCGTCGCCGCCGCCACCGCCGCGAAGGACAGGTGGTCCGCCGCAGTCGCCCTCACGCCGGCCAAACCCGGCAGTGCGCAATGAGCCGCCCTCGTTTGGCCGCTCTGCCGCCGTTGGTCAGCTCAACGCCAAGCAACTGAGCTCCTACATCTCGAATGCTGGCGGCGTCGACGAGCTGCTCGGGCTCTTTGCTGCCCACAGCGCGAGCTTGAACCACATCCACGCAGGAAATATGTGGAACAAACTGGGCAAGCAGCGCATAGCCGAGCAGCGGCACGAGGAGCAGCTTGAGCGGCTGGTGCGGCGCACGATCGCTCTCGTTTCGTCGTGCAATGCGCGAGCACTGGCGAACATCGCGAACGGCGTGGCAAAGTGCCGGCAGCCAGTGAGTGTGGTGCGCCCGCTCTACGCGGCGGTGGCGAAGGCGGCGGTTCGCGGCGGGCTAGATCGCTTCAACCCCCGGGACCTAGCCAACACAGTGTGGGCGTATGCGACAGCGGGCGTGGCTGCAGACGCGCTGTACGCGGCGGTGACGGAGGAGGCGGTGCGCGGCGGGATGACTGGTTTCAAGCCGCAAGACCTGGCCATGACGGTGTGGGCGTATGCGACAGCGGGCGTGGCTGCAGACGCGCTGTACGCGGCGGTGGCGGATGCGGCGGTGCGCGGCGGGCTGGCTGGCTTTACGCCTCAGAATCTGGCCAGCACTGTGTGGGCGTATGCGACGGCGGGCGTGGCTGCGGACGCGCTGTACGCGGCGGTGGCGGATGCGGCGGTGCGCGGCGGGCTGGCTGGCTTCAACCCTCAGGCCCTGGCCAACACGGTGTGGGCGTATGCGACAGCGGGCGTGGCTGCAGAGCCGCTGTTCGCGGCGGTGGCGGAGGCGGCGGTGCGCGGCGGGCTGGCTGGCTTCAAACCGCAGGAGTTGGCCAACACGGTGTGGGCGTATGCGACAGCGGGCGTGGCTGCAGACGCGCTGTACGCGGCGGTGGCGGAGGCGGCGGTGCGCGGAGGGCTGGCTGGCTTCAAGCCGCAGGACTTGTCCAACACGGTGTGGGCGTATGCGGCGGCGAATCGGTGTCTCCCTTCGCTTTTTGCTGATTGCTCGCGCGTGATCAGCGATTCTCTCGCGCAAGACCCAGCGAGGTGGGGCATCGAGAACCGCGCCCAGCTGCACCAGTGGCAGCTCTGGCTCTTCCTGGAACACGGTGCAGAAGCGCAGCAGTATCTTCTCTCCGACTCCCAGCGCCAGCTTTGCTGTGACGCCATGCAAGCCCAAGGCACGCAAGTGAAGATCTCCGAGTTGCAACGCTCCGTCGCGGATTCCCTCGCCTCCATCCAGCCCGGCCTCGAGGAGGAGCATCTCGAGCCGTGCACCGGATACTCGCTCGACTTGGCGCTTCCCTCCTCACGCATCGCGATCGAGGTTGACGGCCCGTCTCACTTCCTGCGGCCAGACAGCCAAGGTGTGCGCGCGCCCAGCGGCACAACGATGCTCAAGCGGCGGCTCCTCGCGGCTGCTGGCTGGCGGGTGATCAGCGTTCCATTCTACGACTGGGATCGCTTGAACACGGCCGATGAGCGTCAAGCCTACTTGGAGCGAGCGGTCGGCCCCCCGTGCGCGGCAGCTCCACAGGCATCGCCAGGAGGATATACCTCGCTCCCCAGCTGCAGCAGCCCCTTGCCAGCCCGGTCCAGCAGCCCGAACGCTAGCCGCGCACAAGGGCCGGACTACGAAGCTGACAGCTGCGGCAGCCCCAGCGGCAGCCCCAGCCCCCAGCATGAAGAGGGATGGACCTCCCTCGCGGCCGGTGCCTCTTCAATGGAGCTGAGCCTCGAGGTGCGGAGCGAGGTGGAGCGGTACGCGCTGACCGAAGGCCGCCTGAGGAGGCTCGTGGAGGAGCGAGGGAAGGTCTTTAGCGCCACAGTGGCCAGCACGGTCGTCGACAGGCTTTGCGGATTCATCGTGGCCGCCAAAGGCATGAGCGGCACGGCGCACTACGCGCTGCAAGCGACTACAGAGGTCTCGGCTGAGGAGGCACGCGCCAACGTCAGGACTCTGCACAAAAACTTGGAGAAACAGGTGCAGAGGCGGCAGCGGCAGTGGAGTTGAGTGAGGTGTGCCATGGTCTGTCGGGAGAAGAAAAGTGTTTGGAAAAGGCTACAAGAAAAAGAAAAACGCCATGTATGGCCACTTCGCCGCTGGCCGCCTCAGCGATGCCCGCAAGCTCAGCTCCCGATGCTTGCTCCACCTCCTCTCGCCGTGCCGGCCGAGGCGACTGGCGCATCCGCTCGCACCGGCGGCGTAGCGGCTGCACGAAAGGCCCACGCGCCACGCCTGAGTGCACGTCTCGGCGTGGTGACAATGTGCGCCGGTGCGCCTGCGTCTGCCGAGCTCGCCTACCACCGTGCCATCGGCTTCGAGCGTGTCTTTCTCTACCTCGACGACGCGTCGGACGAGTACTGGCAGTCGCTGGCTCTGCCCGACGGTGGCGACGGCGTGGTGGTGACGCGCTGCGACGCCAAGTGCTCCAAGTGTTGCACGAAGTTCATACCCCCCCCCCACCCACCCACCCACACACCTCTCACCTGGCCACATCCTCTCCCCCGCCACACACACTCTTCAAAACGACTGCGTCACTTCCGAGGACGGTGTTCTCTCCGCCTCTGGCGTCGTGACCTGGAGCTGGGGCGAGGAAGAGGTGGCGGCCGCCACAGTGGCGCCGCTCCCTGACCGCTGCAGCAACATGTTGCCACTGTAGCAGCGCTCGCGCACCGACTCGGGCTTGGCATCCTGCCGCTGCAGCACGCGTTGGAGCCACGCGCGGTGCGAGGCGACAAACGCCTTGGCGGCCGGGTCGGCGGCCGCGCGGTGCAGCACAACGCGGCCGAGGTTGGCGCGCGTGAAGGGGTCGCGCTCGTCCGTGTCGGGCAGCCGCTCCGCCTCGTCGACGAAGCGCGCGGTGAGCTCGCCGGTGGGGAGGTGCATCAGCCGGACGATCCCGAGCAGCCGCTCCGACACGAGGTCGACCTCCTCCTCCGCGAGGCCGTGGACCGTCCCCTCCTACGAGGCGCAGAGCAGGCACGGCGCGTCAAGACGGAGGAGCGGGGCCGCGCGTCGACGCGCTCGCGGTGGCCGGGCCGTGCCCTCGTCGCCCGCTGGCTGTGCTCCGTGCGGCACCAAAAGGGGGGAGAGGCGGACCGAGGGGGAGAGGCGGACCGAGGGGGCGCGCGGGGGAGGGGGCGGGGGGCGGGGCAAATCGGCACACCGCGTCGCGAGCGACGAAGAACTCGCGGAGGAGCTGCACGTCCTCGAGCAGGGAGGGCGCGTCGCCCGGCACAAAGACGCGTCTCGGCCCGCCGTCGAGGAGGATCCGCTCGAGCGCCTGCGGTGTGAACAGCGTCTCTTCACACCTCTGGCTGTGAACAGCTCGAGGACGATCCGCTCGAGCGCAGTGCGGTGAGGCGGCGCGCGCCTCGGTGTGAGTGTCCGCGGGCGCGCCTAGGCCTCCTGCGACTCTACCTCTACCTGCGTGCGTGTTTGTGCGTGCGTGTGCGTGTGCGTGCGTGCGTGCGTGCGTGCGTGTGTGTGCGTGTTTGTGCGTGCGTGCGTGTTTGTGCGTGTGCGTGCGTGTGTGCGTGCGTGACGAGGCCAGCTCGCGCGCCTGCACCACCGCGACCAGCACACCCCGCACGGCCGCATCGCGCAGCTCCGAGTTGTCCGCCTCGAGCTGCGCGCCTCCGCCGCCGCCCGCCTCCGCCGCCGCCTCGGCGAGGACGGAGGAGGACCAGCGGCCGTGCTCGCGCCCCGACATGGCGACGGCGATGCCGGGGGAGGCGGGGGCCCGGGAGGCGTCGCGCGTGGGCGAGGGCGGCGCGGAGTCGGAGAGCAGGTCCTCGCCGAGCTTGCCGAGCACCTCCTCGAGGAGCTCGACGAGCAGCGGCGTGCCGTCGGCCGAGCCGGCGGAGGGCGACGAGAGCGTCGGCTTGAGGGGCGAGCGAGGGTCCACCTTGCCCGAGACGTCGCGCTCGCGGCAGTAGAGCTCGTCGAAGAGCGGCCCCTTCAGGTCCTGGTAGACCACCTTTGCGCCGAGGAACCAGCAGAGCTCGGCGCAGGACGCGGCCACCGCCTCTGGCGCGCCCGCGTGCAGGATGGTCGTGGGGGAGGGCTCCTCCTCGGCGGCCGACGCGCCGTCCGCCACGCGCCGCGCGACGAGCGCGGCCCACGAGTCGTCAATCATGGCCGAGAGCGCGTCGAGCTGCGCGATGCAAAACGAGAGCGAGTGCAGCCGCACGCACAGCGCGCCGACGGTGTTTGCCGCCTGCAGCACCGACTTCTTGCGGCCCTGCTCGGCGAGGAGCGACTTGATGCCGGTGGCGAAGCCCTTGGTGAGGCCGCCGAGGTCCTGCAGCTCGGGGTACGACGGCTTGGGCGGCAGGAGGGAGGCGTCCGAGCCGAGCTCCTGCCGCATCCGGTTAACAAACTTGTTGAGGATGAAGAAGCAGCGCGCCTGTTCACAGCTGGGGGTGTGAGCGGCGGCGTCTCCTCACACCTCCAGCCGTGAGGATGAAGAAGCAGCGCGCCGCCACCGTCTCGACCCACTCGGCCAGCATCGGCCCGCCGTGGCGCGCGGGCTCGAAGAAGACGTCGAGCGACGAGGAGAAGAGGGTGAAGAGGTCCCACACAACCGCGGCGTGCCGGTGCCCGTCGGCGAGCCCCATCGCCTCCCACCGCTCGCGCTGCCAGGCGGCCTCGAGCTCGTCGTCGAACCGCGTCGTCAGGTTGGCCGTGTACTCCGCCATCAGAGGCTCGACGATGCCGTACACGTCGGCGAGGCGGGGCAAGCCTCGCGCGACGTAGAGCCGGTTGAGCGACTCGAGCGGCGGCCAGAGCGGCGCCCACTCGCCGAGCGCGTCCATCTTGTCCGATGCGGACAGCGCCGCGTCCTGCAAGTGCTCCATCGCCTGTTCACAGCTCGAGGTGTGAAGAGACGCCGTTCACAGCGCCGCGTCCTGCAGGGGCTCCGTATCGCCGAGGACGAGACGGCGCGCCAGCGGCCGGACCACAGCCGGAGGACGGAGTCGAGCGAGTCTGCGCTCGCGTACGGCGCAAAGGCGGGCGCAAAGACGGTCGCCTCGAGCACCGCGTCCTGGTAGAGCAGCTCGGTCAGCTCGACGAGCTGCGCAGGCCGCAGGTCGTGCAGCGCCGCGTGCAGCTCGAGCTTCTGCAGCCGACACTCCCACCGCCTCGCCGCCGACGTGCGCAGCAGCGAGCGCGCCTGCTCGGCGAGGAGGACGGAGAGCTCCTCGGCAGTCGGGAGCGGCGGCGGGAGCCCCTTGCCCTTCCGCTCCGCCTCCGCCGCCGCCGCCGCCTCGGCGGCCCGGGCCGCGGCCTCCTCGGCCTCGCGGGCGGCGGCGGCGGCGGCAGCCTCGCGCTGGGTACGCTTGGCGAGCGCTTCGTCGTGCCGCGAGGAGAGCTTCGCGGCGGTGCGGCGGAGGGCACTCGCGAGGTCCTCCGCCTCGCGCAGCTTGCGCTGCGCGATGGCGCGGTGGCGCGGGTTGAGGTCGCCGTCGGCGTGCGCGGAGTCGTCGAGCACGTGCCGGTACATTGCGATCGCGGCGCCGCAGCGCGAGTTCTTGAGCTGCATGTTTGCGGCAGAGATCAGGGTGGGCACCTGCGGCGAGAGCGTGTACGCCGCCTCGAAGCACGCGAGCGCCCGTCGCGGGTCGTGCTCCGAGTTGGAGGAGTGGCCAGCCTTGATGAGCGCGAGAGCGTCCGCCTGGTCGGCCAGCTCCTGCACGCTGCCGGCCGCGCCCCCGCCGCTCGCCGCGGCCGCGTCGCTTGCGGCGGGCTCCGCGCCGACCGCCCTCCCCGCCGCCTCCGCCTCCGCCGAGGAGATGGAGGAGATGGAGGAGGCGGAGCCCGCGCGCGCGAGGCGCGGCGAGCCCGAGAGCGGCGGCAGGCCAAGCACGTCCCGCACCACCGGGTCGGCGCGCGCCTGACACGGGACTCAAATGAGTGACTGACTTCCTCAACTACTTCGCCCACTACCGAGGCTCGCGCGCGCCTGGCACGGACCGCGCGCGAGGAGCTCCTGCAGCGCGTCGTGCCCGCCCTCGAGCCGCGCCTCGGTCGCAAGCAGCTTCGAACTAAATATTAAGTCATTGAAGGAACTAGCAGTGAATTAATGCCCTCGAGCCGCGCCTCGGTCGCGAGCAGCTTCTCCCACAGCGCCTCCGGGCTCGCCTCGCCCTCCTCCTCGGCGGGCGCGGGCTCGGCCTCCCCCGACGCTGCGGCGGCCGCCTCGTCGGCACGCTTGAGCGACAGCTCCTCGGCGGAGAGGAGGTAGAGCTGCGCGTCGATGCCCGCCGCGTCCGCGTGCTCGTGCGCCAAGGCGACGAGCGTGAAGTAGGCGCCCGCCGTGTCGGCGAACGCCGCCGCCGACAGCTGCAGCGGCCCGTCGGCGGCGAAGACCGTGTGGTAGTCGAGGAGGAGCGAGTGGAGGAAGCGCAGGATGGAAGGGAGGCCCTCGACGTGGTCGCGCCGGTCGTGCGGCCGCCACACCTCGCGCGAAGTGTGGAGCCGGCGCAGCTCGCGGCGCAGCGCGGACGCCGCGTCGCTCGCGCGCCGCGCCAGCGCCTCCTTGAGCGGCGTTTCGTCCGGCAGCTGCGCCGCCGCCAGCCAGCCCTGAAAGGCGCGCTGCAGCACGCACAGCTCGTGCTGGTGCAGCGAGATGCCGAGCGTCGCCCTCGCGGCCGCGAGCGCGCCGCTCTCGAGCAGCCGCGCCACCTCCGCCTCCACCGGCCGCCCGTCGCCGCCCTCGCCGCCCTCAAAGAGGCTGTCCACCAGCGGCTGGTACAGGCCGACCGACGCCGGGTACATGAAGGGCAGCGTCGCCTCGGGCGAGGGCACGTCTTGCCACACGGTGCCGAGGCGGCTGTACACGTTCCACGCCAGGGTGTTGAGCCGGCGGAGTGCCAGCTGCAGCGCGGCGGCCGCCCCCTCGGCGGCGCTGCCCAAGTTGGGGAGCACCTCGTCGAGGCTGATGGCCTAAGGGGAGGTAAGGCCAGGCAAACTTCTCCACACACACGAGGTGGTGGGGCAAGGGCCAGGCAACCCTCGCGTCTCCACGTCTAACGACAGGAGCCCCGCACGGCATTAAAGGTGCGAGGCCCAGTGCGCGTGGGCGAGCAGTGTGTGTGTGCGTGCGTGTGTGTGCGTGTGCGTGTGTGCGTGTGTGCGTGTGTGCGTGCGTGTGTGCGTGCGTGTGCGTGCGCGTGTGTGTGTGTGTGCGTGTGTGCGTGCGTGCGTGCGTGCGTGCGTGTGTGTTGATGGCCTGCAGCAACGCCTCGACCTCCTCCCGCCGCAACTCGCGCCGCTGGTCGACATCGACGGCAACCGGCCAGCTCGTGTCGGCTGGCGCGCTCGCCACGGCGGCGAGCAAGCCGGCGCCAAAGGCGGCCAGCTGCCGCTCGCCAAACGCGCGCCTAGGGGAAGGCTTTGGGAAGGGTCGGGCGAGGGTTCGTAGGACGGTTCAGCTGCCGCTCTCTCCACGGGCGCGCCACTCTGAGGAGGAGGGGAAGTGCTCGCGCGAGAGGGACTGCAGCAGCAGCAGCCGGTACGGCACGTACACCTGCAGGTAGTTCGTCACTTAATTGCCTACTCCACTACTTAATTAAGGTACGGCACGTACACCTGCAGGTCGCGGAACAGCGACGCGACGGCGCGGCCCCCGACCATGTCATCCCCGAGCCCCGGCTCCGACCAAACGTCCCAGCCGGGCGGAGGCACGGGCAGCCGCAGCAGACGCGACAGCCGCGCCGACGTCTCGCCCGCCACGCCGAAGCGCGCCCGCATCTCACGCACGGCGGCCTGCTCGACGCGCGCCGTGCCCGCGCCGCCGCCGCGCTGCCCCGCCGCCGCGCCCGCGCCGCTACCCCGCCGAGGAGCAAACAGCGCGCCGCCGTCGCGGCTCGGCCCGTCCGACGCCCCCTGCGGGCGGGACGAGTCGTCGGCGAGGAGCCTCCCCACCCACTGGCTCGCCAGCACCCGCGTGCTGATCCAGCGCCCTAGCTCCGACCCGCCCTCGTCGCCCTCCGACGCGCCCGACATCTGCGCGCCGAGCGAGGCGCCGCGCGCAAGCGCCGGCTGCGCGTCCACGTCGGCCGGCGCCTCGTCGGGGCGGTAGAGGGCGGAGGAGAGGTTGCGGGAGAGCTCCTCGGCGAGCATGTCGAAGCTCTGCGGGTCCAGGTCCAGCTCGGGCGGGAGCGGCTCCTCTGCGCCCTCTCCCGCATCCGCCGCGAGCGCCCTCTTCTCCGCGCCAAGCGTCGCCACCTCCTCGGGCGGCGGCGGCACCGGCGCCGGTCCCGGTGGCGGCTCCGGCGGCCCCGGCGGCGCCAAGTCGGGCTCCGGGTCGGTCGTGGGAAGCAGCAGGAGCAGCGCCTCGAATGCCAGCAGTTGTCGCTGCGCCTCATCGAGCGGCCAGCAGCCGCCTTCGCGCCATGGCAGGCCGTCGTCGGACGAGGCCTTGGGCAGCACGAGCAGATCCTTGAGACGAAGGAGCGCGAGCTCCTCCGCCGCCACCTCGGACGCGTCGGACGTCCTGCTGGAAGCCGCCGCCTCTGCCACCGCCTGTTCAGCTGCCTCGTCCTCGGCGGCCTCATCCTCTGTAGCTGGCCGCGCGGCAAACGCCCGCGACGAGCGCGCGAAGGTAGCGCTCTCCGCCGCCACCTTCTCGGCCAGGACGCGGGCGGCGTCGTCGGTATCCTCGCTCATGCTCGCGTCCGGCGCTCCGCGCCGACTTCTTCGTCTCGGCGAAGGGAGAAAAACGCCCCCGATGCCCTGCGCCAAGAAAACGAGAAATCCTTCCAAGATCCTGCTCGTGCAGGTGGGGACCCTGTCCTTCTCCCGCCCCGGAGTGGTCAAAAATACTGCTCTTCACCTCAGGTCGTTGTTGCAGGTTCGTACACAATTACAGCTGCGCACACTGGCGGCAATAAGACAGGTACACCAGGGACAAGAACCGGCTGCACGCCGGCGCCGACGCCCCTACCCGGACACCCCTCGCGCGTCTGAGATCAGTACTCGAGTACGCGCTCGCACAGGACGTAACTTGGAGAGATATCCAAAGGCACTAGGGTCATCGACCACGGTGCCGGCACGCCAACCGCCAGAGGGGCACCGCAGCAGAGTCGGGCGATGGCGCCGCCTCGCGATCTGCGGTGGCACGTACTGGTCGCTCCGACAGGTCCGCCGCATTTACGAGTATGGAGACGTACGCGAGCGGGTCGATGAGGTAGTACGAGATGCCCAAGATTGCGCCACTCCACTGTAGCGCCGCCTTGTCGTCGCTCAACGTGCCCGCACGCCACTCGGCAACGTAGGCGCTCATCAACGCAATCGTCGCCGTCACGGCGACTGCGGCCCACACGGCGCACACGATTGCCCTCCTCCGCCACTCATGATGAACAGGCACACAGAGGACAAAGACCGACAGCTCCAGCACCTGCGCCAGCGGCAGCATGACGTAGGTGGCGCACGCAAAGCCGTCATGCAGCGACGAGTTGTCCTCGATCGTGACAATGGCGACGCCGAGCAAGGTACCAAGCGCGCCCGCACCCGAGAGCGCGCTCAGCAGCACGAGCATGCTGTAGATGCGCGTGGACTTGATGTGCGGCACCTGGAGCAGGAGCGCCAGGCGAAAGACGCCGAGCACCAGGGCCTGGGCAACGACGAGCGCGAAGCCCGTGCGAGAGATGGCGAGGTTCGCAGTCTGGCCTGGCCACTGCCCCATCAGGTACGTCGAGATGGGTTGCAAGCCCTGGTCGGGCAAAGCGTCAGTGTCATTGTCGTAGACGGCCTTGCAGATGACGAGCGCGAGGACAAAGGTGGTGATGAGGGCGAGAGAGAGGGAGCGGAGCAGGATCCGGCAGCAGCGCGAGCGGCGAGCCAAGCCCGCGAGCGGCGAAAGCGGCGCCATTGGCGACGCGCCCGCTCTTTCGCCCTCCTTGCTTGGAGCCGGGCAAGAAATCGAAGTTCGCGAGCCATCTGCCTTGGCCTGTCTTCTTTCTTTCTTAGCCGCAAGGCCACAACGCAATAACACTTCTCTTCGCCACTACCCGTCATACAGTCCTCTGTCTATCTCGCAAAGCGCCGGGGGTTCCCCACACAACGCGTCGTCGACCTGATATCCATCCCCAACGAGGCAGCGGCTGCCCGTCTCGTGCTCCGAGGAGCGTGCAGGAGACGAGCAGCAGATCGCGCTGCCTCCCTCGCAGCTTTTGTCGCAGACGGGATAGTGGCTGAGCTTGGTCGCCGACTCCTTGCAGTACCAAGATACTTGAAGGGAATTACTCCACGCAACCCCACTCCGGGAGCTCCATCTGCATCATGGGCAATTCGCCTCCGACATGCACCGTCTCAGGGATCAGGGAAAGATGCTGAGGCTTGCCGGGCCCAAACACCTGCTGCAGATAGCTTACAAAGTTTTGCAGCCGCTGCAAGCGATTGGACCCTGTTACGTGTTAGCATGGTTGCGCACGACCCGTCGCAGGCGCCAACTATGCACGAGACTGTGTCGAGTTCGCCGAAATAGCGAATGTTCTTGGTCGCAAAGCGGTCGAGCAGAGCGCTTTGCCACTCGCCTGCCGATGACAGCGATGAGAATAGGTGGCGCCGGAAGTGACCGATCCTTTCGCACTTGCCCAACTTCCTTGTATGTTTCCCAACCCGTGGCCGTACTCATCGTACCCGTTGCAGTTCTCTTTCGGAACAGAGAAGGATGTGCACACGTGATGCGGCCCAGTGTTCTTCTCTGGGCTGCAGCTTTGCGCTGGTCGCGTCGAGTCGAGATAGAGCACAGACGAGGGAGCACCGACGACGATTCGAAGCGGCACGCCGAGCCGGGTGACGCCATACGCGCCTTCGGCAGAGAGCACCGACCAGCGTTGTATCATTTGGCCCCCGGCAGAATATCCAGACGCAACTACGGCTCTAACCGTCGGATAGGCGTTAGTCACCCACTCGAGGACGGCATCATAAGCAGCGAACGACGGAATGCCTCCGAGGCCTGTCCCGTTGCTCGATGAGCCCGGGTCCGAGAAGCCACCGTACGCCCACTGCTGAACCTTGCCGGCTGTGGACCAGATTGGGGCCTCCCCCTTTGAGGAGCCACCGCTCCAAGCGTGGGCAGTGCACGGCTCGTCCGGGAATACGGGGAGGGTGAAAGTAGTTTGGGGTGCGGTACCTTCTGTGAAACGATTTTCGAGGTGTGAATACACCCCCTAGACGCGACGCCCCCCGAACCAACGGGCCAGACCCTTCCAGAGGTGCCCCAGGGACGCCCAAAACCGGCCACAGCAGCCCCACAACCCTTAAACAGTACTCGGCACAACCACTCAAAGTTGGCCTCCCCCGGTGGTGTTTCACATTAGGGGCACCGTACGGCAGGCCGCCCTGAGCCCCCTAGGCGGACCGCCGCTCCTCTAGCGCGCAGCTACCCGATGGGCAAAGGGCCCCCACCCACCCCAGACGCCCTCACGCCCTCTCCCCAGGCCTTAGCTGCGGCGCCGAGGGCGATCCCGCGCGAGGGATCGCTGCTGCTGAGCCGCAGCGGCCGCCGGCGGCGCCGCCGCCGCCGCGGAAACCTTTGTCCTGTACATCCTCGTGCTTTGGATTTCTGCAGGAGTGTACACAGAGTACGTGGAGGCACCCTTCGGACGTTGGCTTCGCCGCGCAACGGAATTTCGCAAACCGTAGTGCGCGGCGAAGTGATACGTGATACGGGGAAAGACAAAAGAGCGCGGCTCTACCTTTAACAATAAATAAATAAATAAAACGGACACCTCTACTAGGAGATGGGTAAAAAGGAACAGGTCCCCGCCCTGCGGTCTTTGTGCAGGGTTCTTTGTGGGTGTGGTCGCTGGTCGGCGACTAGCCGGGGTCGTCCTCCCGATGGGGGACTAGCACTAGCCGTCTTCCACATGGTCCCTCGGGTCCCTGCTGCTCCTAATCTCGTCGTACATCCTCCTGCTGATCTCAGCAACATCCTGCTCCCTCCCTCGTCTCTACCTTTAACAGAACAATTGTAAATAAATAAATAAAACGGACACCTCTACTCTAGGAGATGGGTAAAAAGGAACAGGTCCCCGCCCTGCGGTCTTTGTGCAGGGTTCTTTGTGTGGGTGTGGTCGGCGACTAGCCGGGGGACAACGAGAGAGCTTCAGATTTTTTCGGCTTTAGACTGACTCAGAGTAAGAGAACGAGCAACAGAGAGCCACACACAGCAAGATGATAGATAGATGTTAAGGCCGTATAGACTATAGTGAGTCAGGCAACACAGAGAAACCGGCCACTGAAACGGTACGCCGAATGGAGGGAGAGAGGTGAGAGGGTCGAGCTGTCTCGGACACTGCGCGAGTTGCGCACTCTCAGCGGCGGTCAGGCGCCACACTGTTTGCCCAGAGGTGGCTCGACCCGGATCGGCCGTGCGCCTCCCTCGCGCGGGCTGCTGCGGCCGCATGCGGCGACAGCTTTGGGGGCGGCACGGGAGGCGGCGCGTCGTCCTCCCGCTCGCTGCTCGTCTCTAGACGGCGGTGCAGCGCCGCCTCGTACTCTTCATACGGCGGCAGCGGCAGCGGCAGCGGCGGCTCGTCGAGCTCGTCGCGCAGCAAGCTGCACATCCACCGCCGCTCCGCCTGCCTGCACACGTCGAGGATGTCGCGCCCGCTCAGCCCGCGCGCCGCGTCGCCCAGCCGGAAGCGCTGCTCTGCGGGCAAGTGCTTTGCGTACAGCCCGAAGATCTCGCACCGGCCGGGCGCCTCGGGCGCAGCGAAGTGGATGCGCACGTCGAAGCGCGAGAGGAGGGCCGAGTCGAGGTCCGTGCGGCGGTTCGTCGCGGCGATCAGCGTCGTGTCCGCCTGCGCGTCCATCCCATCGAGCCGGTGTCAATGAGGAAGTGTCTAGAAAGTGTCTAGGAAGTAGGAAGTGTCCGCCTGCGCATCCATGCCATCAAGCCGCCGCAGCAGCACGGAGAGCATGCGGCGCGACGCCTCGTTGATCTCGCGCGATCGCGAGCCGGCGAGCGCGTCCAGCTCATCGAGGAAGAGGATGCAGCGGCCGAGCGTCGCGCAGTCGTCGAAGAGCGCGGCGAGCTGCTGCTCCGCCTGCGGGAAGGTTCGCAGAAGATTCAGGCAAGGTTCCACACTGCTCGCCAACGCGCCCGGAGCCTCTGCTCCACCTTGCCGTACCACTTGCTCATCAGCGCCTCGAGCGGCGCGTACACGAGCGGAAGCCCCGCCTCTGCAGCCGCGATTTTCGCCGCCGTCGTCTTGCCGGTGCCGGGCGGGCCGTAAAAGAGCAGTGCCGCGGCGCGGTCCGAGCCGAACGCGCGCGTGCCCTCGCGTACCGCCGCGAAGGCCTTTGGGTGCTTGAGGGGCAGCAGCAGCGCCTCCTCCACCTGCATACGCGTCTCCTCTGCGCCCGCCAGCGCCTCCCACGACGTGTCAGCGCGCCGCGCCGCGCCGCGCGGAGGCGGCATCACCAGTCGGGCGCCCATGGTGCCCAGGCGCTCCCTGGCCTCCTTGGGCGTGCTCGGCTTTGGCGGGGATGCGTCCTCGACTGGCGTGCTCTGCGGCGGCGCGGCAGGACCGCCCTGTCCTTGGCCGGCCGGCCCCATTGGACCGCCAAAGCCTGGAGCGCCCGGGATGGGTCCTTGGCCGGCGGGCCCCATAGGACCCCCAAAGCCGGGCGACCCGGCAGGTCCCACAGGACCGCCGAAGCCTGGCGTGCCGGGTGGTGGAAGCGGGATCGGCGGCCCGCCACCAAACTGCGCGGCCCGCTCCGCACGGGCAGCGGCTCGGGCAGCGGCGGAGAACTTGGCGTCCTTGGCGCCCGACATGTGCGCGCTGCCGCGTGGGGCCACGTCCGGCTGGACTGGCTGAAATTGTACCGCCAACGCAGCAGGAACCAGCGCCAGGAGGCAGATCACAGACCGGCCAGTCATCGCGGCTTGTAGAAGGGAGCTCGCTGCGAGCAAGAAAACGCAGGCGACGGATTCCAGTGCAGCTCGAAATAGGACCGCCGCAAGGCGTGGCGTGGAGCGGTTGAGCATCCCTCCGGGGGGCCCTCTGCGCCGGGGAGGCGTTGTTGGAGGCTAGGACGCAAGCGTCCGTCGCCCTTTCAAACTCACTCGGGGCCCACCCACTCCGCTGCGCTCCGACCCGGTTTCAACTTACGTTATCTCGTTTTGTCGTTTTTATCGTTCTGGCACCAGCTGACAAACACAAAACAACTCTAACACTCACACGTCATTTGGGGCCTGGAGCATTGTTTGGTATTGCTAAAAATCTCTCTCCAGCTGTCCGCGTCGCGCACTCGTCCCAACCGGGGGCCGCAGACTCGTTCCGCGCGCCAACGGCTGGTGACGCTGTGTTGCCCTTGAGCTAGTCCTCCCCCGGTCGCCTAGCCTCTGCGCTGTCTGGCGAACGCCTGTATGCCATGCGCGCGGACCACGCTTGCGTGGTACGTGGCTGGCAGGCGGACCCGTGTGCGGGGTCCCGCGCACGGGGAAGCTTCACGGGTTCGAGTCGTCAAACATTAAGCAGCGGAGGTGTGCCGAGGGGGACCGGGAGGCGGTAAGTCGTCGTCGCCCGGCGCTGCTTGCAGCACCGTGGCGATGGCGCTGAGAGGTTCCTCTTTTCCGCGCCCCCCCCCCGCAAGGCGCGCGATACACACGCAGCTGAAGGCTTATACCCGGACAAAAGCACGTTGCCAAACGCACTTTTCTCTTTTGCCAGAGTCTCGCGAATCAAAGGGCCTCCGCTCAGGTGTGAACATATCGCTGCGGTCATAAGCGGTGCATGCAGGCTCATCGCTCGCTAGAATCGACCATCACCCCCGGGCGTTGGGCTCGGGTCCGATGCCAGAATGGTAATAAACGGAAAACGCGAGGACCGAGGTGAACAAGCTCGGAGCACTTGGAGCTCGGAATACGGAAAAGCAAGCTGAAAATGGAGCTCGGCTAGGGTTGGTTGCGCAGCTATGAACAGGAGCGACTTCGCGATGTGGAAGATCATCTCTGGTTCTCGAGTGCCAAGGAGCACCACTTCTTTGACGTCCCAGAGCGCTGGAGGCGCGGGCTGAGGTACTATGCGACGTCGTTTCCACGCTGCTCGGAGGCGCAGCTGACGCTGGACGCCACGCCCAACTACCTGTCCTCTGCAGGCGCGGCCGCAAGGCTTGCACAGGCCTATGGTCCCGCACGGCTGGCGAGAACGAGCTTTGTGGTCGTGCTTTGCGAGCCAATCCGGCGAGCCCAAAGCGCGCTGTACCATTTCCGTGGCGTCATGCTGGGCGCGTTTATTTTCCCGCTGGTACCCGCAGAGCAGCAGACGCCCATGACGAGGCACATCGGGTGGCCGTGGCGCTCCTTTCGTGACCGTGTGCATCGCGACGTCCGTGCAAGGACGTTCAGCGGCGCCCTGTACGCAATGGGACGCTATGGCGCGCAGCTCGACGCGTGGCTGGAAGCCACTGGGCGCCTGAGCGTAGTGCCCCTACCGCTCTACTCGAGGCACGAGCTCGCGACTCTCCGCGAGATTGAGTGCCGCGTGATGCACCGGAGCGCTCATGGCACTGATCCGCCGGCCGACGCGTGCGACGCATCCCGCGTGCACGAGCCACCCCCCGGCGCTCGGATCAACTCCAACTCCCACCCGCCTCTCTGGGCGGACATCGATCGCGCGGACGCAGCGACTCTCGCGACGAGCTTTGAGTGCTCTAACCAGCACGTCCACGTGCTTCTCGAGACACACCCAAACGTCAGCGTGCTCCCCGCCGGATTTGGCAAGCAGGAGTGGGTTCACTTCCTCGAGCCGGCGTACCTCCCACCTCCGGAGGCTCGCAGTCGTGCGCCGCCGTGGCTCGCGTACGGCGCCATCCCACTGATGCAGGACGTCTTGACGCACCTGTGGCGGCCCTCAGCGCCCACCCCGCGGGTGGGCCGTGAGAATTGGGTGCTCGCGCTGCTGCTCTTCGCGCTGCTGCTGGCTGGGCTCACCACGGCGTGCGGCTGCACCGTGCACGTGCTGCGATTCCGAGTGCCATCCCGGAGCGCAGTGCTAGTGTGACGCAGAGCGCAACGCGGTGACCGGTGTCGCCGGTGTGCACTCTCTTGCTTCGGAAGCGAAGGGCGGTGCATTGGCACGGTGTGGGGGCGGCGGCCGCAAGCACCGGTCCACCGGTATCTGTCAAATCATTGTGGGGAACTGTGTGGGCAGCCCTGGTGTGGACGGTTCTTTTGCGGTATCTTGATGTATCTCTCCATATCTGACCGTATCCCACCATATCCTGCCATATCCTGCCGTATCCCGCCATATCCTGCCCGCCTCACGCCGAGCAGCCCGGCCTCTCCGCGCTCTCTCCGGCCGCAGTGCGCAGAGCGCGCGACGGCAAAAAAGAAACTTACACGTGGCGTGTGCTCGAAAATCAGCAGTGCTCCTCCGGGAATGTACGTAAGAGCTAAATACACTGAGAGAGAGAGAGAGATTCGTTCACCGGCTTCTCCGACTGCGCTGAGTGGTAGGGCCCCCAAGGGCCTAGAAATACTGGAGAAAGTCGGGGGACGTAGAGTGGTCCGTGGCGCGTCCATGCACCCGCTAACACTTGTCGCCCGGGGTGCTGCCCGCGAGACGCGCCGTAGATGGCCGCCTTGAGTTGCGACGTGTACTCGTCTCGGTTCAGCACGCCTGCGCCGCTGAGGTCGAGAGCAGGAAGTGGAGGTGCAGGCGCGGCACGCGGCTCGCGCTACTTGCTGTGCACAGTCACGTGCGACTGCTCCACCGCGTGGAAGCTCAGCAGGAACGCGTCGAGCGTGCCTTCTTAGTTCTTACGTCACGTCACTGACACTTTCGTCGCGTGTCGTGGGTGTCAGAGCGGGTGAACATTCTGAAAAACACGGCGGGTCCGGGGCCCGCGGGTCCGTAGGACCGTACGCCGTTCGGTTCAGATCACGTGTCAGCACCACTTCGTGGTCACGCAGTCGCACGCACGATTGGGCCAGCTGAGGTTCATACCGTTTTTATGGCGGGTGCTAATAAAATCAAGAATAAAAAATAAACTTGGGCTTCGCTAGAGGTGCGGCCTACGCGTGTCCTCGCCCTTGCGGTCTTGAGAGGGAAGGGGAAGGGGCTGTGTGTCTGTGCATGCATGTGTGTGTGTGTGTGTGCATGAGGGGGCGAGGACAATCGACCCATTCTTCATTGCAAGCGAACTTTCCCACAAATTTCTGCTGCATCCCTTAAGCCTCGACCCGGCACGCTTGTCGATCCCAGGCTTGTCGATCCACGCTTGTCGATCCCCATGGTCGCTTCGAGCCTGCTTCGCCACTCCGCCCTCGCCGCGCGGGCGGCGCCAGCGACCATGCAGCAGGCGGGCAAGCTCGAGGCTCCCATCCCGTGGCTGCCGCGACCGGACTACCTCGACGGCACCCTCGCGGCCGATGCCGGCTTTGATCCGCTCAAATTTGCGGAGAAGTACCGCGAGGGCATCAAGATCAACGTCTGGCTCAACCCCGAGACCGGGCTCCCCTTCTCCACCGCCACCTCCGCGTGCAAGCCCAACACCATCACGCTCGGCCCGAGCACGAGCAGCACAAAGCGGAGCTTGGCGTGGATGCGGGAGGCGGAGATCAAGCACGCGCGGCTGGCGATGCTGGCGGCGGCGGGCTGGCCGCTGGCGGAGCTGTGGCACGGAGCCTTCTCCAACCTGCTCGGCATGCCTTTTGCGCTCGAGGTGACGCAGGGCCGCTCGCTCTCGGTGTTGAACGGAGGCCTGGGCGAGGTCTGGCCGTTCCTGCTCCTGGTGGCGATCGGCACCTCCGCGATCGAGTGCAGAACGCTCGACCAGGTGCACGGCCTGACCGCGACCGGCAAGACGATGCGCTCGGACGGCCAGGTGGTGATGAAGTCGTACGTGCCTGGCGACTGCGGCTTTGACCCTCTCGGGCTGTACAACTGGTTCGGCGCGAACATGGGCGTGATGGACAAGATGTACGCGGACAACGACCCCGGGTACGCGCTCCGGCTCGCCGAGTACCACCGCAAGGAGATGGAGACGGCCGAGCTCAAGAACGGGAGACTCGCCATGCTCGCGATCACGGGCTACGCCTTCCAGGAGGCGCTCTACGGCACGCCCGTGGTGGACCAGACGCCGCTCTTCTTCACCTTCTTCGGGGACGTGCTGGCTCCGGGCGCGCTGCAGAGCCTCGGTCTCTTTTGAGTCGGCGTGTAACGAGCACGTGCTGAGCTGTGCACTGAGACCCGTGTGACTGTCCTCACACGCTCCCTGCCGTCTCCCGCCTCGCGGCAGCCGCGCCGCCGGTCGCGACTGACTACCGCACGGGTGATTACGTGTATACACGTATATGCGCGTACAGTAGATTACACGTATATGCGCGTCCACTCGGCGGGGTCGCAGCTGATTCTGGAAGGCACCGAGAGGTACCAAATGGCGCAAATGACCAAAATCAAGATTGTGTAACGGCCGCCGCCTCGCAGGTGCGTCGGCGGCTGGAAGCGGGTCGCGTCCAGCGCTGTCGAGGCCGCCGCCTCGGCATGGGCGGGCGACGTGCACGGCGACGGCGCTGGGCAGTCGTCAAAGCGTCGTGAGCTCGATCTGCGCCCTGCCTCCTCCCCGGTTCGTGGAGTAGAGGCAAACCCCGCATCCCTCGGCCCCGTGTGAATAAGAATTAAAAAAATCTTCTCCCTCGCACAGTGAATGTTTGTTAGGTATATTGTTGGCAGTGAATAAGAAATCTCATCGCGGTTCCAATAAATCTTCATCATCACTTGGAGCACTTGGAGTGCAGTCGGCAACCGCACACCCAGCCATCAGTGAAATTATCAAAAAAAGCAATAATGGGCATGAAGGAGACGTGGTCGACCTTTGGGGGGAGCTCCTCTACTTAGCTGATGTTGGCCGCCTCACCCCCGCCGTGTGGGACAAAGTAAGAATGAGTCCTGCTATCCGCCTGCAAGCCCAAGATTGTTCGCACCTATGGGAGCATCAGGTGTTAGCAGCGGGCCGAGAGTGTGGACTATTGTCTAGACAATGCGGAGTACCATGGAACCGTCTCCATCCTCATCGTCGTCTTGCAATGGAATGTCGGCCTCCGGCAGATAGCCGCTCGTTCTGCGGCTGATTCTTTCCAGTGCAGGAGCAGCGGTGTCGTCCTTGGGCACTACCTGCTTGACTGGGAGGCAGTTATCCACTGTTTTCTTTAGCCACATGCGGAAGGGGTAATCCACATATTGGTTGAGGAGCCCCGAGATGACGTATATCAGTGGAAATGCAGCGAGCAGCATGCCCTGAGTAGAGAGACCACCCCCCTTTAGCGGCTGCTCCGTTCCAATTCCTTGGGCCCATGCGTCCTCAAAGTCAATTAGCAAATTCATGACCAAGTAATGACACATATACACTTGGAAACCGAGGTCCCCTAAGTTGGTCAATACGGGGTGCCGACAAAGTTTTGCAAAGACGCCACCTGTTCCACACGAAGAGGCAAATAGGAAGGTTCCATAGAGCGGACCCATTAGGGTGAGCCACAACGGTTCGTAAGCGACCACCCTGCCATACCCAGTTGGCTTCCACCCGTCTCTGCCAAACCAAAAGAAGTTGAGCACGAAGAACGCAGCGGCGGTAAAATCAGCTACGGCCCCCCAAAAGTAGCGCCCGATACGACCCCAGCGGGTCTCATGCTGCCAGGCCTCTCCGCATCGGCAAGCACATAGCATCTCAGCCACCACCATGCCAAAGAAGAAATCTGGAGCGCGCGCCTATTTGCAACACAGATGCGTGTGCTTCTCGCCATGTGTGGGGAAGGTGCTTAGCATATATTTCAACGCCAGGGGAAATCTGTAAAGAATATACCAGTTGGACCACCGCTGGTCCTCCCCCGCGTTGCATTTGTCTACGTCCCCAACGATGAGACACCCAGTCTGCTTGCCAAGATCAACCATCGCCATCGACACAATCGGCCCATGCATGAGGCAGAGTGAAGCTGCAAGTGCACCGAGCATGCGGAGTGTGATGCCGTCGGCAGCGGAGCGTGTGTGTCGCAGTAGTGAGTGTGTAAGAGGGAACAGCCACCAGGAGAACGACATGCACGATAAGGTCCACCCCGGCCCGTTGGGGAACCAGTCAGAACCTGGTGCGAAGGCTTGCACCAAGAAAAGCGACGTGATGGCACCTCCGGCGAGAAACTCGTCATGGCGCTCCCACCTCGCGACGCTGTAGTAGAGGGCATTCAGCACGTAAAAGAGGTAATACGAGGCCACGATTGCCCCAAATCGCAGGCAGTAGAAGCGCAGGATGCTCGCGCGGTCAGTGTACAGCTTCTCGCGATACGCATACATTGTGATGAACCCCGAAAGGATGATAAAACCCTGAACAGGGACATATCCACGGCCAAGTAGAACCTATATGCAGAGCTCAGGGCCTGGTCACGTTTACGGGAGGCGCAGGACTCGCGGCGACCAGGGGAGTTTGGCCCCAAATGGATCGCGAGACGGCCGCGGCCACTGCGTGAGATGGCCGCAGGTGATCCAAAACGTAAGTACGCAGCGAATGCCACTCACATGCTCGAGCAGCTTGCGCCGCACAGGGATCTTTTGGGTCTGCATGCGACTGTGTAATAGTGCCGCGCTAGTGTGCAAAGCCAATGATGCCAATAACCAATTCGCCGCGCTACAACGTAAACGTGGGGTTCAGTCAGACGGGGCCACCCCCGGTCGGTAGGTTGTGACTAGTCGCCGACCACACCCACAAAGAACCCTGCACAAAGATCGCACGGGCGGGGACCTGTTCCTTTTTACTCTGGGCCGGCGCGGGGCCCCCCGGAGGCACCGTGCGCCGCGCAGCAGTGCGGAAACGGGGCTCCGGCGCTCAGAGTCGCTCAGAGCACCGACTTCCCGATCTAACCCGGTCTAATAGAGGGCAGATTTGGAGAGATCTCGAGAAGTACGTACAGATAGACCCTCGAACCATAAGAAAACTCCGACCTGATCGGTCGTACTGACCGCCGACAGATCACTCCAGACAGCAGACAGGCCGACGTCTGCACGCGGCCGGCCGGGCGAGAGGCTTGACACGATCCGACCCTGCGACCCTGACGCTGCTGCTCTAGCTATCAGCCATGCACTGCTGACTGCTGCCACAATGTGCGACCTGTGCTGGCCCACTTGGCGGCCTTCCCGGTCAGTGGTGAGGCGCAGTTCAGAGCTGTCGATGGCGCGATGCCGCACTGGTCCCACATTGGTGACACGAGACCACCAAGTTTGCCGGTCCAAGAGAGAGGCACCGGCGCTGTCCTGAGAAGGTGCGTGGTCCCTCTTGACTGCCCATGCGCGCGAGGCTGTGTAGGCATAGCCTCGAGAGTGCCAGCAGCCAGTCGCCGAGGCAAATTGTGACGCGCATTGCGTCAGAAGCCGGCACACGATGGAAGGACACCTTCCTTCTGGCCGTACGATCAGGTCGTCACTGAATGCTTGATACTAAGGCCGCGAGCTATGCAGGTGATCAATTGTGCATCATGGCACGGTCAGCTGCGCCGACAGGCTGTCGCAAGGCGTGATAGCATGGCCGCAAGGACGCCGAATTCCCATGAAAACAAGTAAAAAATCGCGAAAAAAGAAAAAAACACTCCGAAAAATCGGCGCCTGCGGCGGGCCATGGGGCCCCATCTCCCCCCCGCATGGACACCCTCTGGGGCCCCCGCGCCGGCCCAGAGCTCTATGAAATGGAACCGACTAGCCCTAGTAGTAAAGTAGAGCTAGGTGCGTTTTTTTGTTCATTTACGTACTCGTACACGGTGATACCGTCGGATCTCGGAACTGGCGTCGGAATCACCGCGCGCCATATGACATGCGCATATATGTGTGTGCATGCGTGTGATTTGCTTGCCATCTTTCAGCCTCTACTCCCCTGCCGCGTCTGCCACCTCCGCCGCGCCCGGCACTTGGGCTTTCCTCCGTCCACGACGGCCAGCGTGGGTGGGCCTCAGAAGGCACATGCGCAGAACCACGTACCTGGTCCGCCCCCCCGACTCGACTAGCAGACTCGACTAGAGGAAGGCGTGCAGCTGCTGCTTGTCGACCCACGCCATGGCGCCAGCCACGTCGGCGACCGAGGCCGGCAGGAAGTGCACCTTGGACATGATCTCCTCGTCGAAGAGGCCGCAAAAGATGCGCCTGCGGACGCGGCGGCGCGGCGGCGCGGCGCCTCGGGCCGGCGGGCGGAAGAGAGGGTGCTGTGCCCGGGGCGCGAGGGCGTGCGGCGGTCACCAGAACGGGTACCAGTACGAGGGGGTGTTGTAGAGGCAGGCGACGCCGAGCCGGCCGGGGTAGTGCCTGCGCAGCACTTGTATGCACTCGCACACGTGGGGAACCATCGACGCCTGGGAAGGGGAGGGGCGGCAGCTGAGAGCTCGCACGGGAGCTAGAAGGGAGGCGGAGGCGGCCTTGCGGCCGGCTTGCAGATGCGTGGCGCCACCCCCCCCCGCCCCCGCGGCGCATCCCTCGCGGCGTGCGGCTGCTGTGGAGCCCGAGAGGGGGAGAGAGAGAGCAGTTCGGCGTGTGCAGGCGCGTGCTCGTTTCCATTAACGCATGCATTCCTTCGCCTTGAAGCCCGAGAGAGAGATGAGGATGCAAGCGCGCTGCACTCGCCGGCCGCGCCGCACGGGCATGCGGCGGATGTAGTGCTCCATGTGGTAGGCGCAGAAGCGCGTGCACTCGTCCCGCGACGTGAAGCGCTCCGGGTGCCTACCGAGCTCCTTCCAAAGGCTGAGAGGACCGCCGCACCGCTCGCAAGCGCGCAGCGGGAGCGAGGCGGAGGGCGCGCCACGCACGCACGTTGACGTAGGTGACGGGCATCCCGTGCCGCGTGTACACCCAGTGCGCGAGCGGCGGCTTCGTGTGCGGCGGGTGCAGCGACCGCCCGCCCCCTCCCTTGCCGCGCCCAAAGTAGTGACCGATCCGCAGCGTCGGCAGGTAGGCTGGCCGGCCGCTGTGCGCCGCCGCCGCCTCCGGAGGCGACGGCTCGTCCTCGGTCAGGTTACCGGAGCCCTGGTGGCGCATGAGGACGACCCAGCCGCGCTGCGAGCACGCCGCCGGCATGTGGCGCGGCCGCAGGGCGCGAGGCCGGACACGCTTGCGCCACTCAATATCCTTCGACAGCATCGCTGCAGCCTTTGGCAACGACCAGCCGTGCACTTGCAGGAAGCGCTGGTAGGTGTCGGCATCCAGCGTCTCGCCGCCGATCGCGTGCGGCAGCGGCGCGCTGACCTCAGCACGCAGCTCTGCAATCAGCTGCTGCCTCTCCGCGCTGCTGACTGTGCTGCTGCCGGCGCGCTTGCCCCTGGCCGCGAGGTGCACGGCCAATTTGGAGGCGAGGAGCAGCGGGAGTAGCAGTGCCAATCTCGGAGAGATTCGGGACAGCAGCGCTGCTCGGGAGGTGAGCGGACGGAGCAGGCGTCGAGCTCTTGGGAGCTGAACCATTGCTTGCTGTCGGAAAGAAGAATTCAACAAGGCTCTGTCAAAGCACAGGTTCGACTAAAATCCCTGTGTGGTGGCGGCGTACCGTCCTCCCATCCCTCCCTTGGGTTGTCTGTTTTCTTTCTTTCTTTCTTAGCACAGGTTCGACACAGGTACCCAAGCACGATGTGCCGCTTTTCCAAACACAATATCCGCTCGGAGCCTCTCCGAGTTGGAATGCTATGGCACCGTCGCCCGCGGCAACCTGGCGGACCCACAGGGCGGACGGCACGCCGTGCCCTGGATCCCAGTCGGTTTGGGTATCGTATGGCACGCCAGGCGAGTGCGGCCGATACTCAAAGCCCGCGCGGCTGAGCGTGATGGGCATCTCGGTGTTGCAGTAGGCGGCGTCGTGAGGATCCCAGCCGTTGCGCACGTAATATGACGAGTCGTTGTTGAACCAGAGGGCCACGTTCACCGTCGCCTCAGCCGGCGCGTCGAAGCTCAGTTCGTAACGCGCCGGTACGTGCCAGACCTGGTGCGGGAACATGACATGCAGGCTGCCGACAAACTCCTTGGGGAGTCCGCCGAGTCCGCCGTCCATGCGGAAATCGTGGTTCGAGTCGGCCCACTCGTCATCGTACAGCAGCTGCACGCAGTAGGTTTCCCAGAGCTCTCGCGAGCCTGCCGTGCTTGCACAGCCCGCGATGGAGAATGTCGCATTGCCGGAGCAGGTGCCTGGCGCATCGACGTGTTTGCGGCACGCATCGGCCCCTGGCGTCGCATTGAGGCCACGCGTGCAGCATGCTCCCGCGCACTGGCTTCGCGCAAAGGTGGAGTTGCAAGCGCTGGCAAGGTCGGAGTGCGTGGAGAGTGCACCCCAGTCCACGTTGGTGAGCCACTGCGTGCATGCGTCAGCCGCATCCCCGTGTGCCCATCCTGGTTGCCAACGGTCAGCTGGGCACGCAAATGGCACGGCGGCTCCCGGCTGCGCCTGAGTTTCCGGCGGCAGCAGAGCCAGCGCCAGCAAAGCCAGCGCCATCACCATCATCAATTGCCACGCCCTCGCACACACAATCGTTGGACCCTGCATTGTGATAGCAGCGACCAGCACTGGTGGGCGCACACGCGGCGGAGGACGGCACGCCGCCACCACACAGGGATTTAAGGAGAGGGGTGTGGTGCGCTTGGCGACGCCCACCCTTGGGCGTCCGCCTCTTCCTATCCCTCTTCGGACTTCGCAGTCAGTCCCTCGCCGATTCTCGCTGCAACTTTCATGCCACCTCGCGGTCGTCCCACTCTCGTCGTTCTCTCCCTTGTCGCTTCTTCCTCTGTCGCGTCGCTCTCCTCTGCCTCGTTCTGCGACGCCGCCGCCGCCTGCCGATCCCTTGTTCTCGCGGCTTCTTTCGCCTTTCGGCGCAACTCCGCGCTGCTGCCGGCATATTTTGGCCCCTCGAGTCTATCGAGCTCTCCTCGCGCAAGGACGACTCTTCTGACGCCCACTATCAAACTCGCCATTGCTAGATTACGCCACGCAAAAGATTCTTTAGTAGCTTTCCTGCTAGCTCCGCCATCATGCGCCGAGTTTGGAAATAACTTTTACTATCCGTTTTGGTTGTTTTCAACCACAAAAGGTATGCAAGGCTGGAGAACCTGAAGAGGCTGCTCAACGACGGCACGCTGACCCGGGAGGAGTTTGAGGCGCTCAAGCAGAAGGAGTTGCAGGCGGACGCTACCGACCGCGGCTCCGACCGCGGGTCACGAAGCACAATGGATGTTGGTCATCGCACGCATGCCCCTAGCCATCGGCCGCCATGCAGCGCGCCAGCTGCGAGACCTTGGCTCTGGCGGCATGAGAGCTGAGGCTGTTCGTTTCGCGCGAAGGGCGGTGCACACCTTACTCGCGCCCACCGCCGGTGTGAACGTCTCGAGAGTGCCCCAGGTACCGGTGTGGAAAGGGGAGGGTACCTCGGTATAAGGTGCGCTAAGGTATAGCACTCACTCACACACCTAGGTAGAGGGTGTGGGCGCTGCGCGCCTACCTCTGTGTCGGTACAAGGTGTGTACACCTGCACCTAATGAAGCGTGGCTCCCCATCCCGTACCCGCTGCCCGGCGCGTTCAGAATAGATTTCTTCACAATGTCGCAAATCAAACTTTGGCGAGCTTTCACATCGCGAAGTCGCTCCTGTTCATAGCTGCGCAACCAACCCTAGCCGAGCTCCATTTTCAGCTTGCTTTTCCGTATTCCGAGCTCCAAGTGCTCCGAGCTTGTTCACCTCGGTCCTCGCGTTTTCCGTTTATTACCATTCTGGCATCGGACCCGAGCCCAACGCCCGGGGGTGATGGTCGATTCTAGCGAGCGATGAGCCTGCATGCACCGCTTATGACCGCAGCGATATGTTCACACCTGAGCGGAGGCCCTTTGATTCGCGAGACTCTGGCAAAAGAGAAAAGTGCGTTTGGCAACGTGCTTTTGTCCGGGTATAAGCCTTCAGCTGCGTGTGTATCGCGCGCCTTGCGGGGGGGGGGCGCGGAAAAGAGGAACCTCTCAGCGCCATCGCCACGGTGCTGCAAGCAGCGCCGGGCGACGACGACTTACCGCCTCCCGGTCCCCCTCGGCACACCTCCGCTGCTTAATGTTTGACGACTCGAACCCGTGAAGCTTCCCCGTGCGCGGGTTACCCCGCACACGGGTCCGCCTGCCAGCCACGTACCACGCAAGCGTGGTCCGCGCGCATGGCATACAGGCGTTCGCCAGACAGCGCAGAGGCTAGGCGACCGGGGGAGGACTAGCTCAAGGGCAACACAGCGTCACCAGCCGTTGGCGGGCGGAACGAGTCTGCGGCCCCCGGTTGGGACGAGTGCGCGACGCGGACAGCTGGAGAGAGATTTTTAGCAATACCAAACAATGCTCCAGGCCCCAAATGACGTGTGAGTGTTAGAGTTGTTTTGTGTTTGTCAGCTGGTGCCAGAACGATAAAAACGACAAAACGAGATAACGTAAGTTGAAACCGGGTCGGAGCGCAGCGGAGTGGGTGGGCCCCGAGTGAGTTTGAAAGGGCGACGGAGGCTTGCGTCCTAGCCTCCAACAACGCCTCCCCGGCGCAGAGGGGCCCCCGGAGGGATGCTCAACCGCTCCACGCTACGCCTTGCGGCGGTCCTATTCCCAGCTGTACTGGAATCCGTCGTGCGTTTTCTTGCTCGCAGCGAGCTCCCTTCTACAAGCCGCGATGACTGGCCGGTCTGTGATCTGCCTCCTGGCGCTGGTTCCTGCTGCGTTGGCGGTACAATTTCAGCCAGTCCAGCCGGACGTGGCCCCACGCGGCAGCGCGCACATGTCGGGCGCCAAGGACGCCAAGTTCTCCGCCGCTGCCCGAGCCGCTGCCCGTGCGGAGCGGGCCGCGCAGTTTGGTGGCGGGCCGCCGATCCCGCTTCCACCACCCGGCACACCAGGCTTCGGCGGTCCTGTGGGACCTGCCGGCTCGCCCGGCTTTGGGGGTCCTATGGGGCCCGCCGGCCAAGGACCCATCCCGGGCGCTCCAGGCTTTGGCGGTCCAATGGGGCCGGCCGGCCAAGGACAGGGCGGTCCTGCCGCGCCGCCGCAGAGCACACCGGCCGAGGACGAGCCTCCGCCCAAGCCGAGCACGCCCAAGGAGGCCAGGGAGCGCCTGGGCACCATGGGCGCCCGCGTTGTGATGCCGCCTCCGCGCGGCGCGGCGCGGCGCGCTGACACGTCGTGGGAGGCGCTGGCGGGCGCAGAGGAGACGCGTATGCAGGTGGAGGAGGCGCTGCTGCTGCCCCTCAAGCACCCAAAGGCCTTCGCGGCGGTACGCGAGGGCACGCGCGCGTTCGGCTCGGACCGCGCCGCTGCACTGCTCTTTTACGGCCCGCCCGGCACCGGCAAGACGACGGCGGCGAAAATCGCGGCTGCAGAGGCGGGGCTTCCGCTCGTGTACGCGCCGCTCGAGGCGCTGATGAGCAAGTGGTACGGCAAGGTGGAGCAGAGGCTCCGGGCGCGTTGGCGAGCAGTGTGGAACCTTGCCTGAATCTTCTGCGAACCTTCCCGCAGGCGGAGCAGCAGCTCGCCGCGCTCTTCGACGACTGCGCGACGCTCGGCCGCTGCATCCTCTTCCTCGATGAGCTGGACGCGCTCGCCGGCTCGCGATCGCGCGAGATCAACGAGGCGTCGCGCCGCATGCTCTCCGTGCTGCTGCGGCGGCTTGATGGCATGGATGCGCAGGCGGACACTTCCTACTTCCTAGACACTTTCTAGACACTTCCTCATTGACACCGGCTCGATGGCATGGATGCGCAGGCGGACACGACGCTGATCGCCGCGACGAACCGCCGCACGGACCTCGACTCGGCCCTCCTCTCGCGCTTCGACGTGCGCATCCACTTCGCTGCGCCCGAGGCGCCCGGCCGGTGCGAGATCTTCGGTCTGTACGCAAAGCACTTGCCCGCAGAGCAGCGCTTCCGGCTGGGCGACGCGGCGCGCGGGCTGAGCGGGCGCGACATCCTCGACGTGTGCAGGCAGGCGGAGCGGCGGTGGATGTGCAGCTTGCTGCGCGACGAGCTCGACGAGCCGCCGCTGCCGCTGCCGCTGCCGCCGTACGAAGAGTACGAGGCGGCGCTGCACCGCCGTCTAGAGACGAGCAGCGAGCGGGAGGACGACGCGCCGCCTCCCGTGCCGCCCCCAAAGCTGTCGCCGCATGCGGCCGCAGCAGCCCGCGCGAGGGAGGCGCACGGCCGATCCGGGTCGAGCCACCTCTGGGCAAACAGTGTGGCGCCTGACCGCCGCTGAGAGTGCGCAACTCGCGCAGTGTCCGAGACAGCTCGACCCTCTCACCTCTCTCCCTCCATTCGGCGTACCGTTTCAGTGGCCGGTTTCTCTGTGTTGCCTGACTCACTATAGTCTATACGGCCTTAACATCTATCTATCATCTTGCTGTGTGTGGCTCTCTGTTGCTCGTTCTCTTACTCTGAGTCAGTCTAAAGCCGAAAAAATCTGAAGCTCTCTCGTTGTCCCCCGGCTAGTCGCCGACCACACCCACACAAAGAACCCTGCACAAAGACCGCAGGGCGGGGACCTGTTCCTTTTTACCCATCTCCTAGAGTAGAGGTGTCCGTTTTATTTATTTATTTACAATTGTTCTGTTAAAGGTAGAGACGAGGGAGGGAGCAGGATGTTGCTGAGATCAGCAGGAGGATGTACGACGAGATTAGGAGCAGCAGGGACCCGAGGGACCATGTGGAAGACGGCTAGTGCTAGTCCCCCATCGGGAGGACGACCCCGGCTAGTCGCCGACCAGCGACCACACCCACAAAGAACCCTGCACAAAGACCGCAGGGCGGGGACCTGTTCCTTTTTACCCATCTCCTAGTAGAGGTGTCCGTTTTATTTATTTATTTATTGTTAAAGGTAGAGCCGCGCTCTTTTGTCTTTCCCCGTATCACGTATCACTTCGCCGCGCACTACGGTTTGCGAAATTCCGTTGCGCGGCGAAGCCAACGTCCGAAGGGTGCCTCCACGTACTCTGTGTACACTCCTGCAGAAATCCAAAGCACGAGGATGTACAGGACAAAGGTTTCCGCGGCGGCGGCGGCGCCGCCGGCGGCCGCTGCGGCTCAGCAGCAGCGATCCCTCGCGCGGGATCGCCCTCGGCGCCGCAGCTAAGGCCTGGGGAGAGGGCGTGAGGGCGTCTGGGGTGGGTGGGGGCCCTTTGCCCATCGGGTAGCTGCGCGCTAGAGGAGCGGCGGTCCGCCTAGGGGGCTCAGGGCGGCCTGCCGTACGGTGCCCCTAATGTGAAACACCACCGGGGGAGGCCAACTTTGAGTGGTTGTGCCGAGTACTGTTTAAGGGTTGTGGGGCTGCTGTGGCCGGTTTTGGGCGTCCCTGGGGCACCTCTGGAAGGGTCTGGCCCGTTGGTTCGGGGGGCGTCGCGTCTAGGGGGTGTATTCACACCTCGAAAATCGTTTCACAGAAGGTACCGCACCCCAAACTACTTTCACCCTCCCCGTATTCCCGGACGAGCCGTGCACTGCCCACGCTTGGAGCGGTGGCTCCTCAAAGGGGGAGGCCCCAATCTGGTCCACAGCCGGCAAGGTTCAGCAGTGGGCGTACGGTGGCTTCTCGGACCCGGGCTCATCGAGCAACGGGACAGGCCTCGGAGGCATTCCGTCGTTCGCTGCTTATGATGCCGTCCTCGAGTGGGTGACTAACGCCTATCCGACGGTTAGAGCCGTAGTTGCGTCTGGATATTCTGCCGGGGGCCAAATGATACAACGCTGGTCGGTGCTCTCTGCCGAAGGCGCGTATGGCGTCACCCGGCTCGGCGTGCCGCTTCGAATCGTCGTCGGTGCTCCCTCGTCTGTGCTCTATCTCGACTCGACGCGACCAGCGCAAAGCTGCAGCCCAGAGAAGAACACTGGGCCGCATCACGTGTGCACATCCTTCTCTGTTCCGAAAGAGAACTGCAACGGGTACGATGAGTACGGCCACGGGTTGGGAAACATACAAGGAAGTTGGGCAAGTGCGAAAGGATCGGTCACTTCCGGCGCCACCTATTCTCATCGCTGTCATCGGCAGGCGAGTGGCAAAGCGCTCTGCTCGACCGCTTTGCGACCAAGAACATTCGCTATTTCGGCGAACTCGACACAGTCTCGTGCATAGTTGGCGCCTGCGACGGGTCGTGCGCAACCATGCTAACACGTAACAGGGTCCAATCGCTTGCAGCGGCTGCAAAACTTTGTAAGCTATCTGCAGCAGGTGTTTGGGCCCGGCAAGCCTCAGCATCTTTCCCTGATCCCTGAGACGGTGCATGTCGGAGGCGAATTGCCCATGATGCAGATGGAGCTCCCGGAGTGGGGTTGCGTGGAGTAATTCCCTTCAAGTATCTTGGTACTGCAAGGAGTCGGCGACCAAGCTCAGCCACTATCCCGTCTGCGACAAAAGCTGCGAGGGAGGCAGCGCGATCTGCTGCTCGTCTCCTGCACGCTCCTCGGAGCACGAGACGGGCAGCCGCTGCCTCGTTGGGGATGGATATCAGGTCGACGACGCGTTGTGTGGGGAACCCCCGGCGCTTTGCGAGATAGACAGAGGACTGTATGACGGGTAGTGGCGAAGAGAAGTGTTATTGCGTTGTGGCCTTGCGGCTAAGAAAGAAAGAAGACAGGCCAAGGCAGATGGCTCGCGAACTTCGATTTCTTGCCCGGCTCCAAGCAAGGAGGGCGAAAGAGCGGGCGCGTCGCCAATGGCGCCGCTTTCGCCGCTCGCGGGCTTGGCTCGCCGCTCGCGCTGCTGCCGGATCCTGCTCCGCTCCCTCTCTCTCGCCCTCATCACCACCTTTGTCCTCGCGCTCGTCATCTGCAAGGCCGTCTACGACAATGACACTGACGCTTTGCCCGACCAGGGCTTGCAACCCATCTCGACGTACCTGATGGGGCAGTGGCCAGGCCAGACTGCGAACCTCGCCATCTCTCGCACGGGCTTCGCGCTCGTCGTTGCCCAGGCCCTGGTGCTCGGCGTCTTTCGCCTGGCGCTCCTGCTCCAGGTGCCGCACATCAAGTCCACGCGCATCTACAGCATGCTCGTGCTGCTGAGCGCGCTCTCGGGTGCGGGCGCGCTTGGTACCTTGCTCGGCGTCGCCATTGTCACGATCGAGGACAACTCGTCGCTGCATGACGGCTTTGCGTGCGCCACCTACGTCATGCTGCCGCTGGCGCAGGTGCTGGAGCTGTCGGTCTTTGTCCTCTGTGTGCCTGTTCATCATGAGTGGCGGAGGAGGGCAATCGTGTGCGCCGTGTGGGCCGCAGTCGCCGTGACGGCGACGATTGCGTTGATGAGCGCCTACGTTGCCGAGTGGCGTGCGGGCACGTTGAGCGACGACAAGGCGGCGCTACAGTGGAGTGGCGCAATCTTGGGCATCTCGTACTACCTCATCGACCCGCTCGCGTACGTCTCCATACTCGTAAATGCGGCGGACCTGTCGGAGCGACCAGTACGTGCCACCGCAGATCGCGAGGCGGCGCCATCGCCCGACTCTGCTGCGGTGCCCCTCTGGCGGTTGGCGTGCCGGCACCGTGGTCGATGACCCTAGTGCCTTTGGATATCTCTCCAAGTTACGTCCTGTGCGAGCGCGTACTCGAGTACTGATCTCAGACGCGCGAGGGGTGTCCGGGTAGGGGCGTCGGCGCCGGCGTGCAGCCGGTTCTTGTCCCTGGTGTACCTGTCTTATTGCCTGCCAGTGTGCGCAGCTGTAATTGTGTACGAACCTGAGGTGAAGAGCAGTATTTTTGACCACTCCGGGGCGGGAGAAGGACAGGGTCCCCACCTGCACGAGCAGGATCTTGGAAGGATTTCTCGTTTTCTTGGCGCAGGGCATCGGGGGCGTTTTTCTCCCTTCGGCCGAGACGAAGAGTCGGCGCCGGAGCGCCGGACGCGAGCATGAGCGAGGATACCGACGACGCCGCCCGCGTCCTGGCCGAGAAGGTGGCGGCGGAGAGCGCTACCTTCGCGCGCTCGTCGCGGGCGTTTGCCGCGCGGCCAGCTACAGAGGATGAGGCCGCCGAGGACGAGGCAGCTGAACAGGCGGTGGCAGAGGCGGCGGCTTCCAGCAGGACGTCCGACGCGTCCGAGGTGGCGGCGGAGGAGCTCGCGCTCCTTCGTCTCAAGGATCTGCTCGTGCTGCCCAAGGCCTCGTCCGACGACGGCCTGCCATGGCGCGAAGGCGGCTGCTGGCCGCTCGATGAGGCGCAGCGACAACTGCTGGCATTCGAGGCGCTGCTCCTGCTGCTTCCCACGACCGACCCGGAGCCCGACTTGGCGCC